TAAAGGTCGGAGAATCCAAATCGGGTGCTTTGTCGTTGCCGGAGCTCTCCGCTTGCGTTTGGTGCGCCTTCTTTTGAACTGGTGCCTCGTCATAAACTTACGTGAACGAAAGTCACGTTTTTCGCCAGAATTCATCGGCACCATGGCAGAGAAAAAGTAACTCGGGCGGTTGTTTATGCCGTCTCGTCTCGGCAAAAGCAGGAGAACGAAGAAAGAGCGCTCGCGCACGGATGCGTGCCGGAATGCTCGCAACCAATGGCAGCGCTCCAATCAAGCCACGTGACTAGAAAGGCCCGCACACCACGCTGGAATGCAGTGGGGAAATGCTTTTTTTGTTGTATTTTCAACGAGAATGCCACGCTGCCAAAGTGGGTTTTTGGAAGTGCGGGTTAGGCCTACATGCCCGCGAAATTTCTAGAGGCGGCGATGCGACAGAGCGAAGTGCCACGCGCGAAAATCGGGTAATTTCACACTTTCGCGAGCTACCGCGAGTGCTTTAATTGTATTTTTCGATAGCTTCTAGTTGATTCTCAGCTTTTATTTTTCAATATATTAAGGAGAAGGCTTGGAGGAATACAAAACAAAACACAAAATTAACTTTTTCGAAAAAAATTGCCGTTTTTCGACCCGCATCTCCCCTTAAGTGATCATCGAGCCGTGAACACGTCACAAAGTAGCAATTTTCGAGAGCCATGTCTTCGCGACGCACAAGGAGTAGACGATCTCCCGAAGTGAGCATTAGGCCAATGGGGAGGTGAGCTGAGGCAACATGGCGGCCACAGCCAATCAAAGGCCTCGAAACGACTTTCAAACATTTGCTTTTTGTGCACTTGTTTTTAAACGGAGGAGCCAGCTGAGGCGGGAAAGTTAAACACGGAGAAATGCTCTTTGTAATGCTTCTCTACATGAACATTTGAAACATCAAAGAAAAAGCTTTTGCATAAGCAATATGCTGCAGGTGCATTTAATTGAAACGTTGGCCATTTGTCTGCCTGCCAAGATTTGCGATTTGTAGGCGTGTGAATAGTGATTTTGGCTGCATAATTTCAAATCGAATTTGAATAATATATAACAGGTTATAAAGAAAATAGCATACTTGTCATGGCCTAATAACCTGCACAATGTTTCTTTTTTTTAATTGAAAGGGCCTGTGCAAAAGCAACATTTTTTGGTTCAAAGAAAGTGAAAACAACTTTGAAAAGTTGAAGGATTTCATTTTCGGTAGAATTCAAGTGATAACCTGTAAATTGTGTTACGTTTGAAAATTTACTATACTTAAAGCATATTAGGCAGTATATATTCAAACCTTGATATAATAAACTTGGATATAACGACTTACCAGTTACAATAATAACAAAGTAAGTGAGCAATAGCTTTGCCATAGATGGTGTTACAAATAATCGTTCATAATGAATTTTTAAATATAACGAAGTATTTTAGAAGCAGGTGTAGTTAGAGTGTGCAAGCTTTTAAACTTGACAAATGATGAATCGATTTGAAGGTAATATTTTATTTATCCTTGAAGTAGGGCTTTGTGGCAGTGTGAATTTTTCCTGTACAGGTGTTGTCAGGGCTTAGTGCTTCGCTGCAGTGAAACATGCAGTTACATGTTTACTATGTACTCGCGGACAATTTTTCATGAAGGGAAGGCTATGGAACTAAACTGGGCATGTGCCACCGCTGAAAAATATTGTCCCACAGCTGGGTTCATATTTTCCGCGTGAAAATCGTAAAAAAAGGGCAGTACTTTACTTTCTTCGGGACGTTGTTTATAAGGAGACTGGGCACACACCAATGACATATGCATAATTCTTTTACTTCACGCAGTGTCCTTCCGCATTTTTGAACTTGTGAAAATGGTGTCGTCTTTTGGGCGAGCGCCCCTTGCCATACCGCTATTTCGACGACTCGCCAAGGGAACTTGATGAATTTCATTCACAAATGGCTGCCTAAGCAGGCGTAGTAAATTGAATGCAGTGTATTATTCAAACATGGCTGTCATTCGAAGTGCGAGCCGAACCGGACTACTTGGTGGGCGAGTACATGTGCAGTAGCTCTGCCCCCGTGAGTTCCCGTTCATTGCCAAAAAGAGTTGTCCGCGAATATAATATACACTTTTTCTTGTATTCACAAATGTTCCTCAATTTGAAACTAAACTTCGAGGTATCCTTGAGGTCGAGTTTCGAGTCTAAGAGCTGTTGTGATATAGATAGACCACCTTTGCACGAGTTTACACCTATTCATTCATTTTGATTACTTGGAAATTTTCAATAATTTAAGTTCAAGTCAAAGTGAATTAGAATACTGCAATGTCTGTTCAAATATTTGAAGCATTCAAATATTTGCTCAAGCATATCGATTTGTCTTGAACTTTTAGCAAACCTCCCCATTGTGGGGATGTGGCCACAGATCTCCCTATGAACAAGCCTATCCCCTCTGTGAAGAAAAAAGAAAAAAAAAAGCATGGGCTTCAAAAGCTACTGATCTTGCCTGCTGAATGCTTTTTAACCACTTTTGCCACACTGTACCTGTCCTTGTGGGAAAGCAGATAACTAAGATTTAGAAAAGGCTTTCAGTACCAACTGTCCTGGGACACTGCTCATTTTGTTCCTTAATTACTCATGGGTGCACTTGCAGTACAATTACGTGAGTACTAGTATTATTACTGACATCTAAAAATGATTACCCGGAATCATTCAGAGCTGTTTTGCTGCCCTGAGAAACAGTAAACAAAAACGGACATTACCCATGCCAGTTTCCTTCTTTTGTCACCCCCACTCGCCCCTGCTTCTCAAATCTCCCAAATTTCAAGGTTCGCAAGTCAACAATAGCGTTTGCAGCGTATGTCGAATCATTTGACAGTAACTGCAAAAGCTGACGCAGAAAAAATTGCTCCGAAACCTATTTGTGCATGAGCCACCTATTTTGGGGGAGCTATTCTCGGTGCATTGAGGCTTTATTATGCATGATCCACTTGCACCGGGGAAGCTGTTCTCTTATACCATCTAATGGACACGCCCGTTTCAGTGGAGTTCATTCAGTTTACTTGAGGAAGTATCATTGCGCTCTTGGCCACGTCGGTGCACTGCACCTGCATAGCACTTTCCCAGGGTTTTGCGTTGTCTTGTGTTAGAAGCACGCAGTATGCTTGCACTTTACCACGTCTGCTGCCGGGCAGATGCCGCATTTACTCGCGCAATGAACGCACTTGCATAATAAACACACGCTCGACTTCAGTCATCAAAATTTGGATTTTTTTCTTCCCCCGCGTAATAAACGCACTGACTACATTAATATGCTGCAGTCCCGCTAACGGACACCCGTTGGATCTCTCCTGTTTTTTATTATTTTGCCGACCCCCAGCCACCTCTGCTCACTCTCTCCCGCCCCACCCCCTTCGCTCGTTGCGCATGCTGTATTATTTTTCTTTCTATCTGTGCGCGGAACGTCCCCTGTTTTATCTGTGCACCACAGCGAGGTTCACGAACGGTGCAAGTGTAGACATCCCAGCTGATAAGCAGGCAGGGAGTGAAGGTCACGAAGCTGCCCGCGCCAACTTACGACCGCTTCCTGCGAATACGAAAAAGACCAACCATGCGCATGCGATTTTCGAGCGACGATGACAGGATTCGTTGTTGCAAAGGGTCATTCATCGCTATTACATTGCAGGTTTCTGGAACACCAGAAAAAATAGCTTGTCGTCCAGAAAAGATCGTGACGATTTTCGCAACTTGGTAGGACCCCCGATTCTCACTTCGCTTGTTATTTTCTCGTAGAGGAACTTCTTATGTAGAAGCAAGGCGGCAGCCCTGTTTTATCGTTAATCTAGTTATCGACGGTTTGTTGTGATGCTTCTGGGGTAGCTTGCTGCAATGCTGGTTACTTGCTACAATGTTAACGGCGTCGTCAGGGTCATCGTGCAAGGTAGCCACGAAGTTGGCAAAGTGCGTCGTAGCGCACGCTTTTGGGCGCCCCTTGAGATCGCAACAGATATTGCAGTTATACAATTGCAGGAAAAGCCGCAAAACGCTTTTATAGCATGCGCGGGCGACCCCGGGACAGCTTGCAGAAGATAGTGCCATCAACCACCGAAGATGAGTAAAGTGCAACAAAGAAGCTGTTTCCAAACAGTGTATGCTTATGTCAATTGCGAAAAGCTAAGAAACCTGACTTTTTTGCATTACCGCATTTTTTTTTTTGCTTTTTCCGAAAAAATTTTCATAAAATTTACCCTACTAATAAACGCACCCTCAAACTTTGCTCCAATTTTTTGAAAAAAAAAAAAGTGTGTTTATTACGCGAGTAAATGCGGTAGTTGAAGATGCTTATCATCATAATCATAGAGTCCAAGCCTACCTCCGAGTTGCTCAAAAAACTGTCAACCTCAAGAATTTATGAGCCTAGATTTGAATATATGCAGTGCTTGAAGTTTGTGCGTGAGAATGTGGGACATGGTGCATTCTCCAATAATAACTTTAGTTCCCTCCCCCAAGCTCTCTCCTTCCTTGCAATATGTCCCCTAACCTCACCTCCCTGGCTGATAGAAAAACTGTGTTTGTCATGCTGGCACTCTGGATGGAGGTCAGCCAACTCGTGAGCACAGGAGCCCTACCCGACTGTGTTTTTTGTACTCATTGCTGCCTTGTATATAACCCAATGCTTAGCTTTCCTTGTAGACGCAGTACTAACTTTTTCCTTTCCTGCTTCATTTTCCTTTTCCTTACCCTGGACTCCTCACCTTGTCCTATCTCTCCCGTTACGGCTCGCTACTACCCGCGCTTTGCTCTCCTGACGCTGCTCCTGCTGCCGCTGCTGCTGCTGCTGCTGCTGCTGCCATCATTGCTGCACCTTGGTTGCCCATGCTGCCTCCTTCGCTCTTCCCTGGTCCTTTTATCCTCCGCTCTATGTGCTGAGCGGGGCGGGGAAACTTATGGCATCGCAATTTCCCCGTTGCTACTGTGTGCCATATTCTGCGTGATTGTGGTGATTGGTGGCGATAGAAAAGGAGACGTCCTTCCCCCCACAACCAGAGCCGTGTTCCGTTTGCGGTGCCCGACAAGGTTCCCTGGCACCAGCTGGGTGAGGTGCTCAGCATGAAGTTTAAGTCTGCGACGGGGAGGGGCCTGTCTGAGGACAACCTGCGGTACCTTGCTGGAAAGATCTTCCGCGGTGAGTACGCACGGTCATGTTTCTTTGATTTGATTGTGTCAAACTACAATTTCAGTTGGCCAGTTTCTCAGCTTGTCGTTGCAGGGTGTTTTATTGAAATACAGTTGCACTCCTTTATAAGAGGCATTTATGTAACAGACAAACAGTATCAGTAGCTCTTTATAAATGGGTTCAACCTTACCCATTTGGCTGTAGTCGTTACCCCCTTAGTCGTCTCTTTGGTCTGTTTCAACATAGTTATAGCAGCAGCACATGTTTCCACCCAAGAATTTCTACCGACAAAAGCTCGGTGAAGCTCGATTACTTCATTGTTACTTTCTAACATCGAAGCAGAAATGTTGTGTTATCAATGCAGTGGGTGCATTGATACTTGCTGGGCTGACAATTTAATTTACCTGGCACAGAGTACTGTGTGCCATTGGTGCATGGACAGAAATGATGTGCCCTGTTGATGTTGACAAGTGTGGTGCTAGTCAAGTGAAAGCGGTTTCATTCATGGAAGTTCACAAGCAAGAATATCTTCACAGTATGGTCATCATTACATTGTGTCCTCGAGCGTGTCATTTTAGCAAAGTAAATATTGTAGACTTTAACGATCTCTACAGGCTGGAGAAACACTAAAGCAAAACATATAAGATGTGTTTATATTGCTGCATCAATATGATTAATATTAACAATATGATTTCTCCCAGCTTTGGAAAACTGAACAGAGATATTAACCCGCAAATCACTTAGGGAAGGGGGGGGGAGGACACGGGTTTTAAAAGCCGAAAAATCGTGAAAAATTTATTTTTTTGAAAATGAAAGTTATTATTTCCATCCAATATTCTACCATTTTGCCAAGTTCTATGCAGTTCGAAACATAATCTTAGCCGTAATATTGATTTTCAGCACCAGTGGCAGCTAAGTACGAGCCAAGGATTTGGTACATAAAGCGCTTTTTCTGTGACACGGGATCGCCTTCATACTTGTCTGACAGCCGCGGATCATATATCGATTGAAATCAGTCTCTCATCTTGATTTTCGCGCTGTTTCCGGCTTCGAGCATGTGTTGGCTGTGAAGATAACCCGCTTCAAAAAGAAGTCTCAACACGTGCAGTGCGTCGTAGCGCACGCTTTTGGGCGCCCCTTGAGATCGCAACAGATATTGCAGTTATACAATTGCAGGAAAAGCCGCAAAACGCTTTTATAGCGCAAATTACTCAACACGTGCAGTAATTGGCCAGTCGCGGCACGTGACCCGCAGCGGGCCACGCCATTGGCTTGACTGGCGTCGTCTGCATCACTCCACGGTAACTGTGCGCACACCCTAAGCGTCAATGTGTTTTCGCATGCGAGCAACGATGTCGACGCCGTCGCCGAAGTTCGCTAAAAAGTACAAATTCAGAATGAAAAGGAAGAGAAAGACTCCGTACAACTTCCAGAAAGGCGCTGCTGTGCCACCACAAGTTCCTGACCATGCGGAGAACGACACGCTAGCCGAGTCGAGCGGCACCAATGTGGACGTGCTAGGCCTAATCCCCCCAAGCGCTCTTGACAACAGCCGCGGCTCTTCGTCGTCGTTTCGGCATGAAACTGCAATGTTGCAGCCAGAAGATTTATGGCATATAGACAGTAAAGCTCAAGAAAAACTTGAAGTACTTGCTTCAACTTCCTTCTACTGCCTGAAAATCTGACCTTTTGACGCTGCTGCACAAGCTAGCAACGATCTCACTACAAGCTTTTTCATTGCTAGTTGTGACTCGATGAATGCGCTGCTGGCGTCTACCAGAGTGCAAGTGTACAATATGTGGTGGTAACCTCACGGTGCAAAAAGGTGAGCAGGATTTTGGCCTTGCTGCGAAGTTTGTTGCTAAATGCGCGCACAATCTGCAGCGATGGTGTAGAGGGATGAAGCTCGTCGCGCGTGAGCGGCAATGCAAAGCTCAGACCCTTTGTCATAAACATCCTTGAGGAGTGTGCAATGCAGAGCACCAGAAACGGGCAACAGCAATGAATGACATTTTGGTGGCGATGAACATTTCGGAGAGAGAAATGCACAGTAAAATGTGGCAGGGACACTTTAAAACGAAGCTCGTCCCCACGGCAACCAAAGGGGCAGGAAAGTTGATGTGAACACCTGTGCAGTTAGTATGCAATTTGTACCGTGACCTAAAGATAAACAGCCCGAACAATATCAATATATCGTACGACGGCACATGAATGACGTGCGGCCACTCGTCTCATATCGGCGTCGGCACGGTAATTGAGCTGTACACAGATTTGTGCTCGGTTATGTAGTGCTCAGCAATTTCTGTGCTGGGTGGCACGAGTACCAAAAGAAGATGACCCTGCCTACCAGGCTTCGAAGGAGGGACACACATGCCAGAAGGACACTGACAAAAAAGGCTGGGGCAGATGGAGCTAAAGCGGCACTGATTCTTTTCCAAAGATCTCTGCAGAAGCATAAGCTGCGGTACATGACCTTGTTGTCGGTCCGCGCTTACCTTGCTCTTGAAGATGCAAAAGTGTGTGGATACATACCCTGTAGAGAAGGAAGGTTGTATTAACCACATACCCAAGAGAATGGGCACAGCACTGCGAAATCTAGTTTCCAAGCAGAAGTCCTTTGGTACAGAGAGTCTCGAAGGGAAAGGAAAACTGACTGGTGGGCTTATCACCAAGCACAGCAGCTTTTGTGGCTAGGCCTTGAAATTGTACAAAGCTGATGTCAAGGCCATGCATAAGGCAGTCATGGCCACAAGCTACCAGCATCACCTCAAACAATGTCACTTCAAACCACGCTCTCTGTCCGGAGGGCCCAGATTCATGGTGCCGCCAGAACGCGGCAAAGGCCAAAAATGAGCCGGCTCCAAAACACCGCCACAATCTTCCACGCCATGTATGTGGGGCGCTTCTTCCAGTCTATAGGCTGATGAGTCAATTCTTCGGCAATGCCTAAGAGGGAAGACCCAAAATAGCGAGTGTCTCCACTGAATGATTCGGGAAGTGGCGCCGAAGGAGCAACATGAATCATTGTTTGCTGTACAAGCTGCTGTGACAGAGGCTGTAATGAAGTTCAGTTCTGGATATGAAAGCGCTTCTACAGCCATACTTCAAGGACTACAGCTAAACCTTGGCCAACAGTTAACCAAGTGCATAAGTGAAAAAGACTGCCACCCTGCTGAAGCATTCCCACACAAGTGTGCTTCTGCTGAAAACTTGCAGCGTGTGTTAAGAAAACACTGCAAGTGCTCTAAACAGACTATGTTTCTGGAGGCTACTGATGCCATACCATTTGTGAATATTGTAAATAATTTGTGATGTTCTGTATTAAATATGAGCCTATTTTGTTCTTTGACGTTTTCTTAATCTCGGTTTTGGTGTATTTAAAGCTTGTCAAAGCGATATATTGGTCTAGAGGGTATATTGAGCCACAATTCTTGTGTTAGCATGTAGCTACATATGTCTGCTACGCAAATGTAGGAACAGATTTTTCAATCTAGCCTTTGCAAATTTTTATTCTTCGTACTAACTGGATCACATGAAGAGATATCTGGAGATTGCAACTTTAAATTGCTGCCATGAAACCACCTTTACAGTGTGTTACATACGAATTAATATGCACCTATTCGTTCAGTTTCAAATAATTAGAAAATTTCTATATATAAATTTGATTAAAGCGAATTTGAATGCTGCATTATCGTTCGAATATTCGAAGCCATCGAATATTCGCACAAGCCTACTGAATCGCACAAGCCTACTGCTTGCTATTCACTGGGTTAAAGGAGTGTGCTCAGGTGTAGGTAGAATTTCTCTCGAGCCATGCGATAGAAGGGTGACCACGTTCAACATGAAACATTGATGTTTCTCCATGTTAGCTTCAAAACTTATTGCTGACTTACATGCTTCTGCAACAATGATACCAATGTCTTTTTTTGCTAAGCTATTTGTTACAGGTAAGTTGATAAAGGTTTTGTGGTTTATTATGATAACCATAAGCATACCAATACATATACAGTACGCTGTCGTTAAACAGAGCCTGAAGGGACCAGAGAAGTGTGTTCGTAAAAAATTTTCTTTTTAACAGTTATGACAGTATTACGAAGTTGAAGGAAGTTGGTAGTGATACGGATTGCTTTGGTCTAGATGTATGCGTATGACAAAGGTGTGGGTATTTCGAGCAGTTGGCTGAGTGAGTCTCTATGAACAAACGTGTATTTCATTTCGACATTGAAAGTGTGAATGCTGGAGTTTAATTGAAGCTTCGTATGCACATTAGGCCAACCGATTAAGGACGGCAACAACACGCTTGTCAGCTGGTCTCAATTCTGCAAGGAGCCGTTACCAGAACGGAACTTCACTTTCTGGGAATGGTTTTACGCCATCATGAAAGTCACCCGCGAGCACCTACGAGCATTGTGGAATGACAGGTATGTGCGACTTCGTTAGCTTTAGTGTTTGTCGGCGCATGCCGAAGCAGTGGGAACAAAACCTAAGTTTCTGGCACATGTTTACTGAAAACTTATCTGTTACGATGGTACGTAACCACTCTGTAAATGTGCTGTCAGTCTAAAGAGTATAGAAGGAAGCCTTCGCTACTACATCCAGCAGATTCAGGAAAATGACCATTGTCATTTAGATATGGCAACAAAACTCTTTGATGTGTAGTATTCACTGACTTTGCTGCTTACATTGTTCATGCCCTTTAAAAATTCTAATTTGCATTCTATGCTTGTGAAAACGGCACATTTGTGTCTTCTCGCATTATCAGACTAATTCCTGTTTTAGAGAGCTTGCAAATTCGTTCGTGTGCAATTGCCATACGGCACGTTTGTGATTGTAGTTAGCGAAGATGTGAATGATGTAAAAAATGACTGGCAGTGTTTGCTACAATCTTGCCTCGTGTATCCGTGAAGACATTGCAAGTGCCGGTGAAGGCATTTTAATTAGCACTTTGTGTAGGAAGCATAGCTTCATCGGAGCGGCTGCATTTCCGATAGGAGGCGGAAATGTCATAGGCCCGTGTGCTCAGATTTGGGTGCACGTTAAAGAAATCCAGGTGGTCAAAATTTCGGGAGCCCTCCACTACGCGTCTCTCATAATCATATGGTGGTTTTGGGACGTTAAACCCCACAAATCAATCAAATCAATCAATTAGCTTCATCGGAGCATATGTCAATGCCACAATGGCTGCCGACTCGCATAGCGGGTAAGTCTCATCACAGAATTGCTTTACAGCAAGTGCAAGCGAATTGAAATTTCGCCTTTGCTATGAAAACTTGTCTTATAACACAACAAACCACATATTGTGTACGAGAGGTGCAGGACCTGTCGCTCCCATCTGTATGGGGCGTCTGGTAGAGAGCTTCTGGTTTATCGATACAAAGAGAGACTGGTTTATTGATACAAACAGAGCGCTAGCCTACACTATTGCCAGGCATTGCTCTATATGGTGCACAGTGTTGTCCTGTCGACTATCTTTAAGGGCACACACCTTCCTCATTGGAAGATGCAGCACTGTTTCGTCCAATTCATTCCGTCTGTTAAGGCATCAATTTTTTTTTTTTTTCAGACAAGTTGCATTTTCAGTGAGTAGCAAATAAGAAAATTGTTAAGTATACGCATTTCCTGGGCTTTGTCCACATATCAAATGCTTGTTGCATAGAGAGGCTGAATCAATTTTAATTATGTTGTGTCGTAGCATGAAAGAAATATAAAGTTGGGATTTAAAAGCCCGACTTTTGTGAATTTTGTTCTGAAAAGGTTGTATTTGGTTGTTTCAAGTTGTTTTGCAGAGCTTTACACTCTCTCCTTTTTTTCTTTGTATTTTCTTTGGCTTTCCATCTCCTGGTAGTGTGGTGTGGGGCTTCGTTGGCCGCCGCGAGGCAGATGAAATGCTTCGACAAGGCTGCAATGGGACATTCCTGCTGCGTTTCAGCGACTCTGAGCTGGGCGGCGTCACCATTGCATGGCTCCATGAGGATCCTCAGCAAGGTATGCACGACATGCAGCGTAGTTAGCATCTGCACCTGTGGTTTTCTGGATTTTGCATATTAATTTTAAGGAGAAAGGGTAATTTTACTTTAGAATAAGCACACTTGTTCAAACCGCTCTACGACTGTGTATTGAGTTGACACACCGGTGTGTCTTCGTTAGAGGCTGCTTGCAGGCACTCGGGTGTGCGCGGAAATCTGATCGCTGAGCTAAACATTAGCAGAGGAAGCATGGGATGCATCCGGCAAGAACGACAACCCAAGAGCTACTTGCCTACTGTGCAGCTGATGCTGAACGGCACCACTGGTGTCTGTAACAAACCTTCTGTTGAAGCCCCCCTTACTTGTCTCAGGCGAACGATGCACCATCTAAAAAAAATGGGTTCATTGATATTTCAACTTTCCTGCTTGTCTTTATAGTTGTCTCAGGTGAACGACGCACCATCTAAAAAAAGTGCGTTCATTGGTATTTCAACTTTCCTGCTTGTCTGTTATGCCGTTGACTACTAGAGTAAATCGGTGCTGGGCTTGCTGGAGCAGTTGTGCTTGTTCGCTAGATTAATTATACAGGTCTGTTTTCACTTGCCTGGCATGCACTCGTCCGAATTGAAGACTTTTGCAGCGCGATGAAATGTTATAGCTTATACGCCTAGCCATATTAATAGCTCTCTATACTTAAAAAGCTCGTGGCATGGTTTTGTTAGCACTTTCCAATGAAGTGCACATCATTTGGCTGCTGTTGCGATTTGCATTATTGCCATACATGTATCACCTGCTATCTAACTGCTATAAAAAAAAAGAAAAAAAAAGCTGTCAAGAACAGGGTTTCGTTATGATTGACCAACGTTGCGGAAAACTTTTCTGCTAGCCCCGCTGGACTGGTACTCATATTGGAGTATTCTAGTGTAAATCTGTACTTGACGTGTGTTGCTTAGTTTAGTCTATGCCATAAGGGGCAGAAAGCTGTAAATACAAGAGATTGTAGAGTGGTAGTATGGTGATAAGTGTGTTTCACATTCGAGCCTCTTTTTTTTTTTTGTCTTCATGTAGACTCAAAGAAGTGATAATGATCCAGCCGTTCACAAGTCGAGACTTCACAATCCGAAGCCTGGCAGATCGGGTGAGCGATCTCCAGCAGCTCACCTTCATGTACCCCGACATACCCAAGGATCAGGCGTTTGGGAAGTACTACACTCCTGTTACAGGTAGGTTGATCAGGATAGTTCATGAACTCTCATACAAATATCTATGATGGCAGAAAGTTGCTCTGGGTGGCAGTGCATTCTTGTTGCATAGCAAGCCACGTGTGCAGACACAGACGAGTAGGAGAAAATTCACAATACAAATGTTGTTTTTGTCTTTTGGAAAAAAAAAGAAAGTCTTCCTTCGAAGACAGTTTTCAACTGCAACAGCATTGCTGTTGTCCTTGAGGTTGTATTACATTGAAGCACTAACCTCAGCACACTTTTTTTTTCTCTTCCTCAGACACTCAGTCTGCCACCAGCAATGGCTATGTGAAGCCAGTCCTTGTCACTCAGATACCAGGGTGAGTAGTTAATAATGTGGCTCATGTGTTCTCCCTCCCTTAATTATCACAGTGGTTTGGCAGCATTACCACAGGATCAAGTTTTGGTTAATTTTCTAATGCTGTTATTTCAATTGAGTTCTTTACCATGGAATCTGAAATGCTGTCAGCTAGGCATGTACATGTTAATAAGCAGCAGGGGGCTTTCACGCTGAAGAGATTCAGTGTACAGTAATCAAGGATGGTTATTGGCATTCTCTTGTCTTGTGTTGGAGGTTGGGAATTCTAGTGGATGCATAATATTTTTAGCTATTAAAAATATTCTACGTCGTTCGTGGCCACTTGTGTTGGAGATGTTTATGTCCTGAGAGTGAGGATCTCGCAAATAATTTTTAGTGTTCATCTCTGGGTGTTTCTGCCCCGTGGCCAAGACAGTCTTGTATTTTTTTATGTATACAGTTAAATGCTTATAACGAACCTGCATATAATGAATTCCACGATATCACGAAGTTTTTCGATTCCCTACCGTTACACCATATAAGCACACGTATTTGCAACCTCCATGTAACATTGTAACAGTGGGAGACGTCCTTGATATAACAAATTTTCGCCACGGAAAATCTGGAAATTTTGCCCCGATTTTGTTATTTTCGCACAAGCATGCATCTTCTGCGGTTGCCACGTTGCCAATAACGTGTAAAGTGGCGGTGATTCCCAGGCGAGAGCGAGCACTCGTTGTTGCGCTCGGGTATGCGTGAGACGGGCAGGCGGGTCTGCCCCACTGAGACTGCGTTGCGGCTGTTGTTGCCGCAATACAGGTGACACTTCGTGTTGTTACACATTTAGCTAACGTCACGTATGTGGGGCCGCGCTTCATATATAGAGCACTTTACCGAATCGTTTTCTGTGGTATTCGTGTCGTCTCTTCGTTTTAGACGCCGTGCACTCATGCAAGATTTCACTGCACCCCAACAACGTCTCGCTTTGCTTTTTTTTTTTTGTGTGTGTGTGAACAACCTTGTCGTTACTACTGAGGAGATGTCAGATTAGGCACTGATGGAAACTCTCCAAGACCACTCTAACAACGACGTATCTTTGGAGGTCAACTCGTCACGCACTTTGCAGTCTTGCGCCGCGAGACCTTAGCGTTCGCGATTAGCCGATTAGCCCTGGCAGCATGACGGCACAATGAATACAATGCACACTCTGCCCTACTAACTTGCCCTACTAACTGAAAAGAAGTGCTCTTTTCACACAGTCCCTTCGTGCTGAAGGCACACTGATTCTCGCCGAGATAGCATGTGCACCAGTGATCGCTACCGCACCTTTAAAATCAAAGTTCACTGCTGCTAATCGAGTGACAATCCCACCCCCCTGAATTTTGTCGTGCTTGCTAAAGACGGATCGTTTTCGTCTTGTTTGAGCATTCAACGGCAGTTTTAACATGCAAGGGGGGATGTTATCCTGTGCGCCCTCCAGGCAGTAGAGACGGGCAGGCTCATTTGGTTTATGCTCCAGCAGCACTGAAATATCAGTTATAACAAAGTAAATTAAAATAGTGTGTAATATATACAGTTGAAAATAACCTTTATAGCAAATTTTTGGGCATAACAAACTTATTCCCTTGTAAGATGCAATTTAGTTGTAATGAGGTTCGAGTGTAATTTTTGCTTAAATCTTGTGTGTCAACACGTGGGGACCATATGGGGTGCCTAAAGAAAACAGTGCTTTAGACTAGTCATGCCTGGCTATTTCAGGAAAATACTTATTAACAAAACAAAATAAATGTGGGATGAATATTGCAATGTGCAGGATGCGGGCCGCATCTTTGAGACACCTGCTCTATAGTCGGCCCTACTTAAATAAGAGAGAGAGAGAGGAGAATTTGCACACTGTGGAGTGCAGTGAAAGCTATGGGTGTTGTACCAGCTGCTGTGAACATGCTGCTGTTTCCGGGAAGTTGAGCTAGCCATGAACATTGCGTTATTTGATGGAAACTAAGACTAGAATTTTCAATGACTAAGCTCTCGTTTCTGAAAAAAATCATGATTAGTTTATGTTTGCTCTGTAGCTTTCACTGTACTGCATGGGAGCAGTGGGAGAATGTACTATAATCGACGAGGTAAGGAAGGTGAGGACTTTCATTCTGGACCATACAGAGGAAAGCAGAAGGACGCACGATGTATGAGATATTGCACAGCGGTCTTGCATGACTGAATGCTGGTTCTCATAACTCGCTCCTTGCTGTTTTACAATGTTTCTCACTGAGTCTCGTTCCCTCACTCAATCTTGTTTGTGGTGGCGGTGTGTTTCTGCAGTCTGTTTTCGAAGGGGTCTTTGCATGGAAGTCACTTCATACCCGTGCCCCAAATTCTTGACCTTTTTTTTTTCCGAAGCGAACTGCCGTGAAGTTTTTACACAAGCATGTGCCTCCCAAATAGTTTGAAATTCGTTTTCTTTTTTTTAATACCAAAACAATCAAAAAATTGCGAGAGAGAGATAGATAGAAAAGATAACACTTCCATCAGCCGAATGGGGTGATTCACCTTGAACAAGCAGCTTGAAGGTTGGAAACTGCTTTCTTTGAACTTTAAAATAAAAAGAAAGGGAAAAAACCTCTGGAGGCAACATGTTGAGACATGTGCTGTGTATATTGATTACTTAGACCATTATTAGCCATGATTGTTTATTTTGTATAGAGCTCTAGTGCTAATTAATTACTAGGACAAAGATAATTTTGCTGTGGTTGGTCTTCAATTGTGTGGCTTCAAGCCAATGGTCTTTTGAATTTTTTTTTCCAAACCCACTAGCGTTAGCCTGTTGTTCTGTAAAATGTCCTTCTTTCTCTGCTTCTTTTTTCTTTCTATAGATTTTGTATATTTCTTGTCTGAGGCCATGCATGTAAGTCCTCCTTCGAAAAGGTTATTCCTCGGGCGCACCAAACAGAAAGCTTGCATAGTAACACATGCAGTACAAGTAGCAGCACCTGCACGCAGCCCCCTTTGTTTGTGACACACGTTAGGCGACTGTAGCCAAGTAACTTGCGACATTGTTGCATAGTGTGTGTAAAACTTCTATCTGTAGCAGCCACGAGGGGCCAATGTGATAAGTGAAGCAATTGTGTGTTACATTCCTGAAGCAAAAGCTGCTCCCTTTTGCTATGTCCAGGTTCACCGTTTAATACATCTTAATTTTTTGCTTACTACATCTTGTGAATGCCATACTAGTCATGTAGCCAACGTAATAAGAACTTATCAGCCTCTGAGCTTATGAATCTCTCACTTTTCAATTTCACAACCAAGATGAGTAGAAATGGGCAGTATTATGGTTCATGTATTTCTCTTTAGTCTCTAATATGGCTTTCATGCTTGGAATAAAAACTCATTATAACTATAGACTAACTGTAATTCATTGTAATGTAAGTTCCGAGTGCATGCCGGGAGCATGTTTCTGCACTGATGCACCTTCTGCTCGATAATTTGTGTGTTTTGTTTGTCTGTCTGGAGACACACTTCACGTGCATGAAGAAGCTTGTGTGTGATTTAAAAGCCTTTAAACAGAACTGTGAGGCTTCTTACAAATATATCGGCCTTTTGGCACAGCACTTTGAGTTAAAATTTGGCGATGCAAACCTGTGAAAAAAAGTTTGCTCTGGAAAGTGCATAAGATGGACGAAAGTTGGCAAAAATATTTAAAAACAAAAAATTATGAACTACCCATTTGAGCCACCCACTTATCTTTCATGAATCCTGGCATCATTTGTGCACTTCTAGCAGTACGAGAACCTTTTATCAAACTTTTATAACAAAACTTCAATGATGCTATTCTTCCTACTTCTTGCCTAGTCCTAGGGAAGGGTCATAGAAACCGCTTATGGACATGTGATACATTGTGTTCGCACCAAGTTTCCACATAATACATTATGGCTTTGCAAGAGATTCTTATCTGTAATGACCACTGCGTGATCGTTGTTAAAGTATGGACTCTCTTGTTTGCAGGAAAGCGTGCATGTATTCGGCAATGCATCGACAAATTTGAGTTTGTGTCCTAGAAAGATCTAATCGGAAGCTACTCTTTGCAGCACGATAGTACGTGCTAACAGGTTACAGTGATTCTGGCACTCCTCTAAGAATGTTGCTGTCCATAGGTGCCAATATGTCTGACTCTAGTTATGCGTCATGAAACTAAAGATAACCCGAAAAGTAATCATTTGACTCTACGTCACATATTTTGGCCATCTTTTAAAGCTGAACCATGCAGTGTCCCTGTTTCATTAGTTATAAACATGTTCACATAGGTTTATTGCATATATGTGCTTTTTTTTTTGTGATCCCGCAGAAATATTAGAATGGTTTTTACTGAACCTTTATCAGTGATGTGGACTAACATGTTTGAGGCAAGGCAGTGGGCGATGCTAGGTCCACTCTCGGCAAAGACTGTAGGTTCGCATAACAAAATGTGTTTCATGCTCTGTTTGTACACTGTTGTCCTTTATGAAAGGGAACATGCGAGCTCGTGGCCTGCGCTCTGCAGTGGCTGCCTGTAGCTCCATCGATCGACAGCTCAGGAAAACACGATTGCTTTTGGCGTAATTTATTGGCAGACGAGTCGTGGCAGGTAGACAAGCGCTGCTAGATCATGCTCCCCTCTCCTCCTCTAATGGGCAATGCCTATAGCTTGCGTTGTGCTCGTGCACCACACTTGGTTTGTTGCCAGCAGACAACGTGCTGCAGTGCTTGTCTACTGGCCGTGACTCGTTATCTTGTCTGCCAATGGAATGCACCAAAAGCGCGCGTGTTTTCCTTAGTTGTCGGTTGATGGAGCTGGGGGCTGCTCTCGCAGAGCGCAGGCCACGAGCTTGCATGTTCCCTTTTATAAAGGACGACTGTGTACATGCTGTTCATTAGTGTTGTTAGGCAATGAATTTATAGCTTCATCTTTCAGAAACAGCGTTCCCTGCTTGGTACTTTGTTGTGCCTGCTAAGATAACTTTGGATTCGTCTGCAAAAATAACAATTGTAATGATTGCTATAGAGCATGTGCATTGCCTAAGGAAGGCTAAATGCTAATTCATAATTACGGTGGTAATAACCTTAGCCTTGCAAAACCATAAATCCACATGTGTCATTCGAAAATGCGTGCATTTCGAAATGCGAGAGGTCTTTTCCATTTTGCTCTCTGGCAGGTTGTCGGGGATGTTGAACCTCGTTGACAGCAACCCATCGACGCCTCAGTCCTATTTCCACTCACACTCGCCGGACGCTGGAGCGAGCATCTACCACGACGGTTCCTCCCTTGACCAGGCCATGCAGTAAGTGTGTACTTGCTGCCTGCCTACCGGTCTGTGTCACTTTCCCTTTCCCCCCCTCCTATCCTCTGCCGTTTATCCCTTGCCTTCCCTGCCTCTTGCACATCCGGGAGCCGTAGGGCTCCCTCATGTCACGCAAACCGTTCCTGGCATCACCGCCCCGCTTACCCTCCCTGCCTTCCTTCCTCCTTTCCTCCAAAAGTGAGAAGAAGGTGGATCCGACGATGCTGTGGCCTTCGAGGAGTTGGACCGGCAATCCTCTGTCCTCCTCTTAAAGGCGGCGTCATCTGGCTTGCCTCCTGGACTGCGTAAAGTGTGTGCAATGGGAGGAGGATTTGGTTTCGGAGCGCGCAACCTGCTTGGCTTTTCCTGGAAGCCATCGAAGGGGAATTTTGTGAGAAAGAAACCAAAAGAGGACAGTGTGTCGAGCGCTACTTGCCTGTCGAGCAGCCAACGTACCCATGCATTCATTTCTTCTCTTTTTTCATCTGATAATGACGCGGGTGTGTGCAGGGTGTCGCTGTAATATCTCTTGCGAGACCCCCGCTCCCTTGTTTTCTGTTCAAATAGTTCTCTTATTATATTTGGAAGTACTGCAGTGCGTACTGTTACAAGTGCTCCAATATATCGCTTGTAATCATATTTTCTTTTATCTCATTATTTAGTATGTGTTTTGTCATTTTTAACCTCATTTCTAACTCGTTTCTAAGCAGCTGTTCTTTCTTTTATATTAGCTCATTTTTTCGCAAAGACATTGCGCAAACTGTGCATATTTTGCACTCTTAAAGAATATACATTTACTTCCCTCAATATTTCTCACCTTTTTAGTGAATTTTCTGTACATTGTGCCTGTACGATAATATTGGTGCTTCTTCATTGCCCCCCCCCCCCCCCCCATTCCCATTCCCGTTTTGTGATTGTAAACTGTCCCTTTGTGGTAATCAATACTTGCTAGCTAGTGAGGCGTAATTGCTGCAGTGTTCTTCACCTTTGTGCGTGAAGGAGAAAATTACCTTTGAACAACAACTAGCTGTTGACATTGAATGAAGGGACGTTAAACCCCACATATCAATCAGACATTGAATGAAGGGGGTTACCCTCAGTGCTGAAGCAGGCCTTTTTCATTGACACAGTCCTTGAACATTTTTCAAAACTGATGAAATTATCTGAAGACTGCCAAAAGTTAAAGAGAATGGAGTACCAAAAAATCGAGAGGTTTTTAAATGTCTAAATGTGATTAGGAAGGATTCACCTTTATCTACAAGGAGAAGTTATTGCATATTGAAAGAGTGTTTGTGTAGGCTGTTCAGAGATTCATGATTAGGAAAAGTAATCACAAAAAAATGGTACACCTAAAGAGACAACACGAAGTACGTATTACATTTTTTTCTCATTGAAATGCTGCCACTGCTGACTGGAATCTAACATGATAAAGCAAAACACCAAAGATTAGAGTTATCAGGAACTCTACGTATGAGAAAGCAAGTTACCTGTTGAAAACATTTTTGGGGCTTGTTGGCTAAATCTGCTTATTAGCGTGTTAGTAGGGCAATTAAGTTTCTTCTCCTAAGTTCTGCTGAATGAAAAAGTTTCTCACTATTTCACTGGCAAACTGCTGGAGATGCACAGGAATCTACATGTACCTCGCGTGTTAACATTTGACGTTATATGACGTCTCCTGGTTCATCAGATAAGCTGGGCACTTAATTGTTGTATTTTGCTAATTTTCCAGCAAGTCAAAATGTAACACTTTCTGTAATTTTCCAATCCTGATAACCCAGACAAAAAGCAAGTTTGGTCATTATGAATTCTTGGCAGTCTCGGAGGAATATTCGGTATTTGCTGTATACAAATTCTCCATACTCATGTTTGAAGTTCAATTGTGAATTAACTTGATTTGTTCACAATATTTAGTGTATTATTTTTCCCTATATGAACTCTCTTCTTAGTTCATACAAAGGTTACTGATGAAAACTAGAATGCTTTTATATGCATGCTACACTAGGTGACTGCAACAGCTAGTTTTTGCTCAGTGAACTGAGTACTGAAGTAATTAGCCAAGTACTGAAGTACTGAAGCACTTCGTCAATCTAGATAAGCAGTAGACAGTGCGTTTCGGCATTCATTATGAGAACACGAAGCTGTCAGCATAGCTAAACTTGAAATGGCTCGTCAGTCAAAGCCAGAAGATTTATTAAGCAATGCTTATTTCTAGGCTTGGATGGACGCCTGAGCCAAATATCAGTTAATTACTTTTTTTCAAAACTTCATCGTGGAATAACTTCAGAAGCATCTCTGTATTCCAAGATGTCTGTTCTGTGATTTGTCAACCTCTGCCATTTTGTGACAACCTGTTAAAAAGCATGAGCAACAATTAAATGAGGCACTTGGTATATCAGCAAGAACAAGTGACACAGACCTTCTGTGGCCTTAAAACGGTACTGCGGCTTCAAATATACAGCGACGTAAAAGTTTTTTAGGATTAAAAGATTGTGTGCAGTGATGTACTTGCGGTTTCACGTTTGTGACTGTACTGGCTACATTTTGTGAGGCACAGATGATGAAATTGCTCACGTATTTCATTTTGCTGCACAATAAAGATCTTGAGGTGAACAAGTGAGACCCAGCATTCAATTAAATTTATTGTGCACCTTCTAGAAGTTTACATAGGCTGTCTTGAGTATTCTGTAGTATGTATACAAATAAAAAAAATCTGCTCAAATTAAAATGAAATTGCATGCAGTATGGTACAAACTTGAAGAACGCCTGGAGAAAAAAAAAAAGTTGAATTGTATGTCTCGACAGCAGCAACGATCACATGATGAGACTTGACTGAATAAGCATGAGCGAAGTGACCGTCAGTTTGGGCAGACAATTATTACGTATCCAGCAAAGTAGTATTTTTTTTGCAGGGTACCCCTTTGGCAAGAGTGCTAGTGCCAACTTGTTAACCATTTTTCTACTGATCTGTCTGTGACTCGAGATACCTGTCAATATGTTACCAGCTCGCAGACCCAGCAGCACTTTACTTTTCTGTGTGCATGAACTGGGTCAGCTGTTCTTTTTTGATGGATTTGGTATGCTCGATGCATCCATTTTTTTCCCCCAAACTGCTTAGGCACTGGAAATTTTTCATGGTTATAAAGAGACACATCATTACATCAATATTAGATATTTTCTAATAACTTATACTCACATATTTACAAGATCATTGATAAGCATATTTTCATATACTACTACCATGCCTGATCATGGTGCTTTTTTTTGCCAATTGGAGGACTGTAATTAGCAGTTTTCCAAGTCGTTTGTGGCATCAATTCAGAAATAATTGCTATGTCTGGGCATTCGTCATTGTATGGGACGGTTATGGTAGTCTAGTCTGCCACATTGTATTCACCTTTCTTTATCTTTCTAATGTTGAACCCGTAAGCCTTGTAGGGGCCTGTTTCAATGAGCTTTACGAAGCACTGCTTCTCACTACTAACATTCCACAGAGATAAAGTGATTATAGTGTGTGAAGAAAAAGAAGAAAAAAATAAGTGAAGAATTTTTTCTTTAGGCAACCGACCGATTCATTAAAAAAATTTTTTGGGGGGCGATATCATAGTATCAAGACAAAAATGAAATTTAAGTTGGCATAGATTCGTTTCTTTATATTCTGCTGTTTCTAAATTCAACTTAGTATGTGTATATACTTCAGTGTTGTTTCTCACAATGCTCTGTAATGCATTATTTCCCGAAGTTGTTACAAGCCCTCTCTTTGTTATTTGCCTATTCTGAAGCTTGTGTGTTGTCGTCGTAGTAAGGAGCTCTTTGCTCGCAAGTTGTTTCTAAGCGCTCGTGTACAGTTTACTCCTCCTTCGCGTGCGAAGCTTATGATTTATTTTAGATGCTGATTCTAAGTGCCATAACATAAATTTTGAAGATCTAATCGAGCAGCATACTACTAGATTGTATGGCTATTGTCGATGAGTGCAGATATTTTTTGGAGGTTCATCAAACATTTCAGTCTCATTTGCCCAGAAATAAACCCTGAATTGAGGTAGAAGTATGATTAAATTTTGTGCTTTTGAGCATTAAAGGGACACATGAACAGTAACATGAATTTTCGAGTACTAGTAGTAGTAAAGCACAGTTTCACAATCCCCAAAACACCACTCTTACCGTGGCACGATGCTTATCAAGCGAGAAACGTGCGAAAAGAAAAAGCGGGGGCGACACCACTTTGAAATTAACACATTAGACACTGTGACGTAAGAAATTTTGAAGGAGTGTATTGGGGAGAGGGGGGGGGGGGTCCTACGTAGCTTCCACTTGATAAAAATGAAGTACATTGTAATTTATGGGTGCCATAGAGGTAGCACGCGAAGTTTCAGGAAATTTCATCGAGCCAGTGGCACCAAAATACTGAAAATACGTTTTGGAATTTCTTAGGTCACATGTGGAGATTTTGGCACGAAATTTAAAAATGGCACTTCAACTTTTACTTTATTCGATAATAATCAACTCTTGATTGTGAAACATATGGCATTAGAGTTATCAGAGTGCAGTTTGTCAATCTAAACCATGTCATTTTACTTGCCAGACTATGATCATTGGCACTTCCTGAAGACTTGTGCGTACACCTGCTTGTTTATTCCTGATTATTCATTTGTGCTTACAAAACTTAAATCACGAGTATGATAATGTGGGCATAATTTTGCAGTTATTGTAACGGTGGCTGTTTGGTATTCGAAATGTGTTTCTTTGGCTTGATTCAGGCATTGTTTGATTTGTACTTGATTCGGCCTTGTAGCAGATAAGTGCTTACTTCAGACTAATTTATTGAGACAAGTTTGGCCTCTGAAGCAGCTCACAGTTGCAGCAGCCAGGTTGCTTAAGAAATCATGATCTGAAGATTGTATACATCTTGTCGGAATTTACTGCTTCAAGTTTTTAGCTGTCACTGTGCTGCATCCAACAGTAAATGGGGGAGAGCTGGGAAGTTCGGGACAGCTGGAGGAATGGGACAGTCCATCTATCTCTGGTGCAGTTACTCCAAAAAAGTTTGACGAGTCATGAAATGGTGCTAACCGACCGATTGCATGGAGGAAATGGCAGGCGTTTTTCGTGAATCATGCTTTCTGCAAATAGAAGTCTCCTTTTTCACTTCTCGAAAGTAAGTTTCTTCTATCGCAGCAGCAACGCTCCGAGATTTCAACTGCTGTGTGAACGCTAATATCATTTCTTTTTTCTGAAAACGCCATCAGCGCTGTACTTTTTTAAACATAAACTTTACACATTACGACTAAACTTATTCACTGAACATTCTTTAGTAGGGCAGGAATGGTGCAGTTGAGTTGAGGGAGGAATTGGGACACTGTCAGATTCCTCTCAATCTTACTATCACAGGGCAGTAGTGCAAAAATAAGAAAAGTAAAGTCAAGACAAAGGTCCTTGCATGTAAATTGGGGATGCATACTCTTAAACAAGAATTCAGAGTGTAGCACGACATGACAGTATCAAAGAGGAAACGCAGCACAGGCTTGACTGCCAAGTTGTGTTTGCTGAAGGATTGCTGTTCTTCAGATGAAGAGCACACACTTGCCACTGTCTTTGACAAGTCTGAGTGATGTGTAAGGTATTGATAATGACTGGCATCATATTTGTAAAATAAATTAGCCTAATGAATATATTCAAGTGACAAAAGGAGCTGTATTTCTTGCCAGTTATAGAAAAAAAAAAAAGTTTGGCATTCATTATATCACCAGATTGAAGAGCAGTAATGACATGTCAGTGACATTGTGCAATTCCTGCAAAACAAAGAGACCACTTTGTTCTATTATCTGCATTAGAAAGATGGTGATTTTACCAATTATGGACATTATGATCAAGCTTCAAAGTGTTAGAACCATCCGTGCATCAGCTGCACCAGGAGCTGTAGGATTGTGTCCCGGAAGTTTTGCAGCTTGTTTAGTCGTGCATTATAGTCCATCAAACAATGTGCTGCATGCAAGTTCTAAAAATATAATTGTGAGAAGTTTCCGATGCGCCCTGACTCTCCCCTTAGTTGGCAAGAAGGTGTCTGTGTGCCCCAAGAAAAGGCGCATCTCAGACTATAGAGGAAGAACTATCAAAAAGTGAATCGCTTTTCCTCTTTGTATATTGGAAGTACATTTATCAATGTTAGTGGTGGACAGGTTGGCAGATGTGATAGAAAGAGCATGAAATATTCCTTTGTGATGGGATGAGGGCAGCCGTGCGATTCATGCTATATTTGTACCATATTTTTGCATGAGTAAGCGACACCGCCATTTACACGGAAAAGGGAAGAAACATAGCAGTGCCTAAATGGACAGAGCAGGGAAACACAAATTCAGTTTAGATTATTAAATTGTTAGCCTAGGCACTTTTTAGAATAGCGTGCATATAGCTTTTGTGTAGGCGTTGCGCACCACTCCTGTGCGCCCCCGTTAAGCGATGGTAATAGTGGGCATCAGCAACGAACGTTAACTGAACGTACACTATTCTAAAACTACCTATTCTTTGAGAGCCATAATGACGTTAATCTCACCTTGATAGGCTCTTGCCGTTGCGAATTGCGCTACAGGCCTTGGCAGATGCTGTCTCAATCTGACATTTCATAGTTAGTGCGGAAACCTCACGGGTGTTGCTGCCACCTGTACTTTTCTATAACAAGCTTTCCGAGGAACTGGTGCTTGAATCCCATTGTTGTCACCACTTATAATAATAAGCTCCTCGTTTGGTCTATTTCGCATATGTGCTTCTCTTTATTTCTTCATATAGAATGCTGGTAAACTTTCTCATTTGCTGGCACAGTAATTATTTCTGCAAGTCATTGCAGGCTGACGTGCCATGATGGGTTGAACAATATCTAGTGTTTCAGGCAGATTTAAGCTTTTAGTCAGTCCTTGAAGACAGATTTTAGCTGTTTTAGTTAGAAACGACTGTTGTTTAGTCATTGCAATGACCTGTTTTAGCATGTCATTTGCAGGTGCTTTTCTTAGCCCTTTGTAGAAACATTAATGCATACTGCGCAGCTCTCTTAAGCTCTTTTGCAGGTGCTTTCCTTAGCCCTTTGTAGAAACATTAATGCATACTGCGCAGCTCTCTGAAGCTCTTGTGAAGAAAAAGAAAAAAGGCTACAATCATGACTCCTATAGTGTATTCTAGAGTAAAGGTCTGCAAAGAATTGTTGAACGTGTTGACAGTGCTATCTGCCTGAATCAAGGCGCCCGCATTGCTAAGACTTGGTGTAAAAAAAAAAAAAGAACCAATGGTGTCTTGTATCTTCTGTATGCATGGCTGTTGAACAAACAATAAGATTGTTTGATGGTTGCATGATTGATTGTTCACTGTTGAGTCTTCTATATTTAATAAAATGAAAACGATTCCATACTGCAAGATTCATGTTGGGCTGTTCATATTGCAATATAGTCATTACTATTATTTACAGATTTAAGTCACGATTGTGATCGATGAGGGCATTGTTTTGTTATGAAAGCACTTTTTTTAGATTTGCAATAGCTTCTGGATATAGTAAGGAATGTTCCAAGTTCTGCTCAGGAGCTGTGTCTGGCTTAGCGAATGTCTAGTTGTATAATTTTTTGTTGAACGTGGGTGGAAACTCCAGTCAACTGTTTTGCCGCTTTGAAGTATATGTTGGCAAGTGAAGCAATGCGCCCACAACAGTTTGCTCAAAACTGACAATAGTAAATTGAATATCTGCAGATACTTAGCATCCTCTCCGAAAAAGTGCATTCTATAAAGTTACCACGGTCCTCCAAACTGAATGGGCCTTTATGAGGGCCGATCGAAGCACGTACCTTGGTTGTATTGGGCAGTTGGCCCTTATTTTTGTTAAGATGTATCTATGAAAGCGAGCTTTATTCATATTGACGATCTTCCAGGGAGATATCACTTGTCACTGTGAAGGTTGCCAGCATATACAGATATGTATTTTTGATGTATAGATGTTTTCGATCTTGTGCGTGCCTATTGTACCAGCCGACCCAACAAGACTGGCATGGCTGTGCGGTCACGCTGGTCTGGTTGTTTGTCATAGTTTTGCCATCCTCGCTTGCGGTGCACATATAATTGTGCTGCGATACCCAAGCCAAATATGTATTTCTAGATGTAAGTTGTGCACAATATACATGTTATACATGTGTGGTTTTGCCAAAGTAAAAGACTTGTCGTCACCCGCTTGATACTGTTGCTACTGCTGTTTCCCGCGCAAATATAGCTGAAAGATTCCTTTCTCCTCTTGTATATTTGCATTGTTTTGTTGTAGTTTTAAAAGAGTTTGTTACAGAGTACATTTTTCTCCTCTTTCTTTAATGTTTGCTTGAACACTTCTGTTCCTTCATCGATGTTGTACTTTCGTGCCATCGTTACACATTTCACTTCCTGGAAAGTGTTGTCTCGAAAAATAAATGGTTATGTTGACTCTTTTTGTGACTTCCTGTTACTGACTTGATTGACTCTGACTTTTAGTGTTGTAAAGTTGTTTATTGGCCTGGTGCAAACAACCTCCTCTACCATGTTACCAACAAACCCTATTTAAGGAGCTTATAAAAGCAAAATGAAAATCTGTACTTTGTTTTCCCAGTTTTATAAGTAAGAACTAGGTCACTTCATGTATCTCGCGCTTCTTGTAGCTGGAACCCAACTCAGCACCTGCAGTTGGAGGGAAATAAAGTGAGAGCCAAATGATCTGTAAAGTTGCTACTTTGGGTCAGCAGGATGCTAGCACTTGCTTTCTCACAGAAAAGTATTTCTTGGGAGCTTTTAGTGTAAATTATTTTTCCTCTCGTGCAGTACAGAAGTGTTTCTGATCTGGGTCATAAGTTATTGTGCTAGTTTCTCGAGCGTCTGAGAATACATCTTTTGTTGACAGATAAACGGGGAGGTGTGCACACGTGCTGTCTGATGCTAGCGCTATGGAACATGCGCATTTTTGTAGAGCAATAAAAGTGCTAGAACAGAAACTGGTGCAACTGTTTTTTTTTTTTTTAACTTGGCAATAGTATTATTGGCAAACACGAATGGCATATGTGTATGGTTGTCTGCAGCATCTTCATTCTTCCTCTGCACAGTGTGCTGGTGCACCGGCCATGACACGAAGCAGGTCAGAGTGAAACGGGAAACTGATTCTTTTCTCTGTGCTGTCATCTTCTCGCTTCACCTGTCACTCTCTTTCACGCAAAGCCGTTTTATGTGTGCATTGCAGAGCAAGCAAGTGTTAGTTGTTTTCAGTCGCTTCTGCCGTACCGTTCAGTCAATAAACTCCTTTCTGAAGTGCTTGAATGTGGAATCCCGACATAGCTTGTGCGAAAGCTTGGGCAAAACTTGATGAGACCTCAAGTAGCCTAAATTCGATGAAGGTGTATGCCGGAGGTGGAGGGGAGCAAAGGAGGTCAGGTGCTGTCGAGGGTGCGGCAATTCAATCCCACCCACCCGCCTAACGCCTTTTGTTGTTCTTTTTTTTTTCTGCCAGGGCGGGGCTGTCGGCAGCGCCTGACCTCGACTACAACCTGTGTGACGTGAGTGACGTGGACTTTGCCGAGTTGGATATCCCAGTTGATTTTACAAACTTCAACGTTACTGAGCTCACGCCGTACCCAACCAAAGCTAACTGAGCTCCTTCCTTCCCCCTTCTTCTCTGACAGGTGAGCTCGGAAAAAACCTTTTCGTTTTCCTGTTTGATGAGCGCTGCACTCGCACTGCCACGAGCCGTGCTTCTTGTCTTAGCCTCTAGCCACCCTTTCTATTTGCTCTGTTGTAGTACATTGGAGCAAGTCTTTTGCAATAGCAGCATCAGTTTGTCCTGCACTCGCATTTCAGTTTGACGGTTTTGCCCTCGTAGTGGAACGATTGCCTTCATCACCACTTGCTTGCTTCTGCACACACTTTTAGTCCCGTTCCTGCACACCTTATCTTTTCGTTCTCTTTATTTCTTTAATGCCCTTCATATTCTTGGCCTTGCTTGGCCAGCCATTGCACTACGCTCCTGGGAATTCGGAATGCCCCTCTGGAAAACAGGTAACGTCGACTCGCGTTTTGAAGTTAAATGAAGGGCGCGTGTTTGTCTAAGTGAAACATTTTCAGGTTCTACCAGGTCACGTCTGCAGGACGGCAATGTTTCACACTTAACCAAATCCTGGAAACCACAGATGGTGCTAGTGAATAAACAGTCGCCACAACTTTGTTTGCGTAGCGTGTTCTTGAATGAACATGCAATAGTGGATGGGTGTATTCGTAAGTGTTCTGCGTAAAAGAGGAGGGCGTCTTTAATACCGTGCATGGCTACTGCTTTCTTATAACGTCAGGATTAGTTCAGGACATTAAAATGCTTTCACGTAAGTACTCGACAGCAAATTTTTGGTGGCTTCGACAATTCATGATCACTACATTTAATCACCTGTATCAGATTGTTGTAGCACTTTTCAGCCTCCTCCTACAAGCAATTGGACATTATTTGCCCGTGAACAACGTATACTTACACCTCGTTTATTAAGAACCAGTTTGCAAATAAAGCGATTGGAGAAAGGACGTGGAGGATTGAGAACACGTGGGCGATCGCTTTATTAAATTGCAGCATAAGATGTGCTGCTACGGCTCTTCGTGCATGTTGGTCTGTTACAGTTTGTCATGGAAATAAAAATCGAGTTGTCATGTTTCGGTAGTGGCTGCCCCTTTTTACTCGGTTGTTAGAAATAAATTAGAATTGAAATAAAAATATATGTATTCTTGCCTTGAGCAAGTTCAAGATCCTGGTCTCGCGGACAACGAGGTCTTCAACGCTTTGCAAGCTACTGATGCAAGCTCCCATGCAGAAGTATAGTGATTTACTGCATAGGCATCTAGCTCCCATTTACCCACAGATTCGACGTACCTTAAGCTGCACTCTTACAAGCGTGCTTGTCACGAATCGTTCACGTTTACTTGCAACGTCAGAAATCTTAAAGCCAGCATCAATACACTGTTTCTGTACTTGTAAAATGGGGAATCGAATTTAAAAGGCAGATTAAGCAATAGAAGAAAAATGTGTACTCTCACTAAAAAGAATGCGCTTCGAAGAAAGGTTGAAGACGAGTGAATTTGCATGCGCACATCTACAGCCCCTGGCAATCGTTGGTGAATGAATGGGGAGACATTAATTTGCATACAAGAAAGTGGTTGTTGGAATTGTATGAGTCGGACCCAAAATTGACAATGGGCATTATAGCAGATGTGGCCTTCAGGCATCGTTCTCGAGGTCAATGACTGCTTCAATGGGCATTACACCGCAGTGAGGACAGCAAACAACAAAACTGCTCAAAGGGCAAATTGCACAGCTGTCGTGCAAGATTTGGTGCAGAAAACTGCGCAATCGCACGAGACAAAAAAAGACAACAGGACTTTGCGTTGTCAGTGTGAAGTCCCGCTGTCTATCTTGCTGTCTAGTCCCGCTGTCTAGCTCCCAGGCTGTTTTTTACGATGAGGACATGCCAACGAGCTCAAGTTTATTCCCTTTTTAATGTCATGCGAAATTGCATCTTGCAGGGTACAAGTGGTGCTACTGATGAGTGCAAGATTATTGGCCTAATCAGTGACTCGCATGGCAGAGCATGGGGGGAAAAGCACTTGGTTACATAGCACAGTTATTGCACCACTCTTACATTAGCGATTATTTTGGTAACATTTATATTTTTGCGAGTTTCTAAGCATAGAAGATTCGTGGAGCAGAGGTTCTTGCTTACATTTGATGTCTGCATTGAAGTACACAAACTACTCGTGAAATACCAGTGGAAATGCTTTCACTTAATGTAAACTAGAGTTGTTATTCGAGGGCTTGGCTTTCTACTCAAATTTTGTGAGCTGAGGGTGAAAGCCAGAGATACTTCGTTTACACTACAGCTTCTTTACAAACATTGTCTACTCTCGTCATAAGCCACCAAGTAAGCTAATGGTATAGCAGTCTGCTATGGACCAGAAACTTTGCTATTACCTTTGACGCCTGCTCTGTAAGCACAGGAAATGCATAAGGTGCCAGCGGCATCAGCGACTAGTGTGTATAGGCAGTTGTAATGCTTGGTTGCTTCCATCCCTGTTGTTATAATATCTTCGCCTATTTTTATCTGCTCGGCAATGCATGTTTTTTAGTTTTATAACCAAACCCACCTCTGCCTTCTGCTGCTCAAGTTTTTTCAGTCTAAATGTGTGCTGCATGTGGGAGCAGAAGTAGCATGCAATCGCTATTGACCAAAAAAAAAAGGACTAAGATAACTGGTTCTAAACACCAGCACCATCAGTTTCTTAACCCTGTTGTCCTGTGATAAGCATACTCATATGAACTCACCAGTGCGCGCTCCTGACTGTCAAGAAATCATTTGAGTGGAGAAATCCCTGCAAACGAAGGAGCAGAATACTGATGAGTTGCTATGTGACAATGTGGCGTTACGCCTCACTGATGCAAAATTATCCGTAAATTTTCATTCTGAAGCATCTAATTCTAGAAAATTGCTGTTCATTAAAATTAAATTTCAAGTTTGCCTCTTCCTTTAAAGGGGTGGTGCCACCATTTTTGTGGCTTGTGCATTCTTTGCTGCAAGCATTTCTTATATCTCCAGGAAGCATCATACACACACCAAGATTGATTTATTGTCGCTAAATAAATTAATATCGGCTTTTTTGTGGCGACCATTCTCGTTTTCGGTTTCTGCACGCAGAATTGGGCTGTGACGTTGCAGTGTAGCTTGGCCACGTGGCCACACAAAACAAGGCTGTGACGTATGTCGGTCGAGGTGTTATCGGTAGCAGCCGCGATGCTTTGCCGGTACGTACGTAGCGGAGGTCTCCCAATGTCGCCCCCCTCATTACAATAGGCGTGTTTACGAGACAGGGGTAAAGGGGCGGCCGCTCCCATAAGGGGGGTTGTGCAAACACAACCCCACTTATTGACATAATAGGAAGGAAGCGCCGTGACTTAGGGAGGGGGCGTTAAGTCAGACCCATATAATAGGGAGGGGGTGCGCTGTGTTGAATGTTTGTTCTAGCTGGAGGGGAAACCTGCACATTCTTATCCTCACTACAGATCTGGTGTGACATCACTGCAACTTTCGTTGGCCTTCCTAGAGAGCTACGACAGTTCTGGAAGCGCTTGCAATCGACTTTGGCCGGGAGAACTAACATTTAGGTACACTTTAGAGGTGAATTAAAATATATTCTAAATGTTTGCTGTGTCCGAGCGTTCATCTGGGGTGTCCTAGCATACAGAGGAAACCCACAAGAGGCTTGCTTTAGCCTCAAAATTTGGTGGCACCATTCCTTTTAGGATATTGAAGTGAATGACAGGTAACTGTTATGTCTACTAGTTTTTGCAACTCATTTTGTTAAAATGTAGTTTTGACGATACTAAAACAATGAAGCTTAGTACCTGCCCACCATACCAAATCTTGAAAGTACCTGGAAGTAATGTTCTGTGACCCAGAGTCCTTATTGTCATTTTTTTAATTCTGACAGTTCAAGTTGAGTTGTTAGTTTCTCAATAAGAAATGCTGCATTTCACATGCACTATGCGAATGGGAAAGCGTGCGTTTGCACTTGGCTTGCCCTTAAAGGGGCACTAAAGAAAAAACTAATTTTATGTGCATTAGTAAGTTACAATTTTACAATACCCCAAACACCACACTTGCTGTGAGAAAACGCTCGGTAAGTGAGAAAAAGTGCAAAATATTGTGCGCAGTGACAATTCATTGAAATTCCTGCACCAACTGCTGTGATATCATAAATATAAACATCTACTAGGTGATAGTAGTTTGACCTTCGAGGGGGCCATCGTCTTGACTAGCCAGGTTCGGATAAATTTCGTTGAGTCAGTGTTGCCAAAAGTGAAAAAAATAGACGTCGTACGTGGGGATTTCTGTGTAACATTTTAAAGTGAAACCTTTATTTTCTCCTTTATTAACAAACATATGATATTGACATTAATGACATTAGATTTCTTAGACATCAATTTATCAATGCAAACCAATTCAGCTTTTCATTTTAGCGTGCCTGTAACTGCTGTGTGAACATTGCTAGTGTGGTTTTGTAGGCCATTACACTATACTGCAGCACAATGCTCGTGGCATGAGTAACTTGACGTGTTGATGTGACACGATCATGGTTCTATTCAGTGGTGAATATCTACTGTGGTAAATAGACAGTGTATCTTTGTTTGGCTGAGCTGAAGCTTAAATACCCATATTTCATCAACAATTTTTGCCGCTGGGTTCGCATGATAGTGAGGACAGACAATTGTGGCTCCTTCAAATTAGTAGTTAACAAAACTTCCATTATTTATTCAGATGCAACACATTTGTAAAGTTAGTGCACATAGCTCATACTTTTCTAATATCTCGTAGAAGTGTTCGTGCAGGAGTGGTGTGCTGAGTGCCTGTGCCTGATGCAGTTATTTAGGAAAGGGTTGAAGTCAATATACAGCCTTCCTGTACATGCATAGACATAGTAATCGTACGAGAATCCCAGCTGTAATTTATTTTTGCCAGAAGTCTTCAGCGATGTTGAAGCAGGTCATTAATCAAGCTGGAAGGGCTGGAAGTGTCAATAAGAATTCCCATTTTCATGTCATGTTTTATCTTCACTTGGACAGGGGGCATAATTTAGTAATTTATGTGCCTACATGTTTATGTGCCTCTTATCCAAAGTCCAGAGGCAACATAATTTTAGTTCTGTTAGTCATTGCTATGCTTAATTGATTTTTCCTAAGTGCAACTAGGAAATGATATGTGCATTAAAAGTTATGTACAAAACTTTTTCTACATCATAGCCAGTGTTTGACATGCTGCACACTGCCGCTGCACAAGCTTTGACATCAGGAGCACCAGAATTGCTTTCAAATGTGTTTTGTCAAGCGCATTAAGTACTGGCTTGCATAAAGGCAATTTACAAGAGGTTTGCCTGTATGGAATTGTGCAAATAGCATTAAATCTTAAAGGGATACTGACACAATTTTTTTGGAGGTGTGTTTATACTGCTATACAAATCTCCTGTATACAAAGGTTGCTCTAAACAAGTTAGACGCTTGGCAAATGCTGATAAGATATTTTATTTTGATATTGAAGCCGATTTTCCCGTACGCACCTTTACACATTACTACACATTAGCTTGACGTCGGGCTACAGTACTTATCCTGGTGGTTTTGTGCAGCAGTCTGGCTGCTTGTGATCATGTCCAGTGCCGAAGCTTTCTAAATGGCTGCCTGTGTGTCGCCAATGGAATCACGGTGTGGAGTAGCTGCAGGAATGTCATGATATCATGCATGGGCACATACCGTGTTACGGTGTCAAGGTACAGTGGGAACCAAAACTAGCTTTCAAAAACACACCGTAGTTAGTTTTTCAGGGCACACGGATGCTTGGTAGTGCATTTTCTAAGCTCTTGAGTACAGTGGCTTAGCTAGGAAGCGACACACCTGGCCTCTGCCCCCCCCACCTCAAAATTCTATTTTGCCATGACATACAGTGCAGAGCGAAAAATGACTATTTCAATGAATGCCCCTCTCCCCCACTAAAAAAAATCTGCCTTTGCCCTTGTTAAGCTTGGCCTTTTGTTGAATGCAAAAAAAAAAATGAAAACTTCAAGTTTTGTGTCAGTACCCCTTGAACACATTAATGCTCTTTTCTGTGCCCATGGGGTGCATGCGTTCGACTGCTTTATGAAATAACAGCAAAGGTTCAAGCATATCATTTCTTGTTGATGTGCTACAATGGAACGCATGAAATATAGCAAAAACTGGCCTAAAGAACTCTCGGCATTGTGTAGCTTGCAAACGACGAACCAGTGGTTATGCCAATGTGCTGAAACTGGCACCATTTTAAACCTTGTAGAAAAACTTTATGCCAAGAAGGTGCGCTCTGTTTAGTCCATTTGAAATATTCATAACAGAAGATTATGCAATTAATTACCTTCGCTCGCACACAGATCTGTACTTACAAGGTTCGCAGTTATCTTGAAAAGCGGGTCCATCTTTAGTTAGTACTGTTGTGTGTGCAGCTGAAAAATTGTTATGCCATAACAGAAAGGCTTACCGTAGTAAGGGAGTATTATTTCATGTTATTGTTGTGTTGATGATTATCTGAGCCCTCTGCTTCCATTCGGTGTTAATTCCTACTTTTCTTTTTCCCCTTTATTTTACAGGGAATCCTATTCTGGCAGAAAATTGTTGGCTTGAAAAGCCAAAAGTTGCGTGTTCTAACGCGAGGTGTTGGGACTTCTCTTTTTTTTTTCATCTCTGTGTGACGCACACCCATCCCACATTTCAAAGGATCCTTGTGGAGTCTCATTTCTCGGAGCTCCTCAGTATGCTCTGTACAGATTTCAGTGCTTTGTTAATATTGTAGTTTCGCAACGATGCCACCAGTCGTCTAAAGATGACCCCTCACTGTCGGAGACCTTTATAGTAGTAGCACGCTTCCGTATGGCCACGAAGAGTATCTTGACACTATTTTTGTTAGCTGTTTGTTTAATGTTCACGTAGAACTATGTGCACTGCACTAACTGAAAACTAGTCTCGGACTGAGGCTTGTACTATAGTGTCAGCAACGTGACGGAGTGCTCACTTTGGCTTCCTTGGCTGCGATGTGTTGATAATCGCGATGTGTTGATAATTGTAATTGATGCACACAGCCTTGGTGACATGTTGAGCGATTGGGTGTGGGCTGCTGTTGGCTTGCCTTTACCTTTCAAAGGCCAATTTTAGCGTAGCTGTACTTGTCAAAACAGATTAATTATAGCTTTCAGGCAGGAGGCTATCATTTTCTTCTGCTAGCCACTGTCATGGTCAAACTAATTTAAGACAAGGAGTCAACTACAAGCAGTTTGTGACGACAATGTCAAGCTACTTTAGGTTTAAGTGGATGCACTTGTGATAAGAAAGAGCCAGGCAGCCACATCGCGACAGGGGCGGAATGCAACACACGTGTACTTGAATTTAGGTGCGTGTTAAAGAATCCCAGGTGGCCAAAATTATTTTGGAGTTCTTTATGGCGGTACTCTTCATAATCATATCGTGTCTTTATCATGTAAAGTGCCCAAATTTACTGTTATTGTGATAAGAAGGTGCGCTGACATTTGAGTGCAATTGGCTGCGTGTTGGTGCAACGATTTAAGACGGGGTCCATAGGACGCGACAGTTGGAGGTCTGTAATGAGTTATTGGAGAAGTTGTGTGTGGCACAGTAGTATCCTGTGGGTGCTGTGTCTGCACACAGCCAAAAAGTAATGAAACAGTGACTTACTACATGCCTTCTTACATGACCCTCACGTTTGCAGAGGTCGCATTTGAGGAAATGATGTGTTCTGCTGCAATTTAATGTTGCCTCAAGATCAAGCCTCTCTTGAGCTTTTGATTTTGTGATGCTGTAGCGCAAGGGACTTCAGCTCACAACTACTGCAGTCAAGACATCTGCCCATTGTATTCGTTGCTTTCTACGGGGATGTTATTGACCGGGCAGGATTTATTGTTCACTTCATCTCACTTAAATTAACATTTGGCATTGTGTTTTATTATCGGAGCTGGACACATGTTCTAGTATTTTGTTAACTTCACCAAATTTTCCTGTAGAGTTGGAAAGTGCCACATGCAGTCACGTTCTATTGAAAAATGTTTTGGATCATTTTAAAGCTGGTCCATGTGAAGCTAGGCCAACCTGCTTGCTGTTCGGTTATTAACGAATGTCTAGGCTTGCATTGTATTTGGTTTGCAAGAATCCTTTGTTATATCATGTCATGCACACAGAATTTTCTTTTATGTTACTTTTTTCTACGTTTAGGTTTTGTCTATGTTTTGAGGAAGAGTAGTCGTTGCCGAACCTTGTATGCTCATTCAAGCCATGCCTGCACAAATCTCCCAAAGTTGTGTTCAATCAATAAACTACTCTGTGTATGTGTGTGTGTGTGCATGTATGTGCAGGCTCATGTTTTCGACTTACACATGGTCAACATGTTTGGTTCCCGATTCCTTCCCCTGTGCTGATTATTTCTCTTTTCTTACATTAAAAAGTCCTACTTTGTTACATTGTAGATATAGATTTTGTTTGTTTGACTGAAGCACCTCTTTTAAGTGTATGTGTACGTGTGTGTGTGCACATGCCACACATTTAGAAGTTGTTTTCTGATGTTCCTCAGACTGGCTCGCTGACGTCGATCTCATGCTCTTCTTCTTTCTCATGTTTGTTTCTTTGTTCATTGATCACCCCATGTTTTGTTTGTTGTAATCAAGTAGAAGTAATTCTTCGTTCAAAGCTTACTTTTTCTGTATATACGTGTGTGTGCGTGTTTATTACCACTGCTCAAAGAAGCCAATCATAGTAAATCAGTCTTGACTGGGAAAAACCGTTATTGCTGGGGGGGTTGAATGCTGAGCCCCCGAGGAACTTAATTTGCTGAAAATACACTTCGTTGCTTTTGGTCACTCTACCGTCCTGGGAATGAAAAGAAGCGATAGCCGACCAGGCTTTAAGTGCAATATCTGTTCATCTGCACCAAAGTGCACCTCTGTAGCGTTCGCGTCTCTATCCCTGAGAAATAAACCACTGTCACAAAATGTTTCCAGCGCATAGATTAAGTGTCTGTGTTAGCAGTAACTGCAGATGAATTTAACTTTTTGAAGACCGCTTTGTTTAAAAAAAAAAAATTGAGTCCCAAGAGTCGCGAGTGACCCGATCGGAGCAAAGGAAACTAAATATTATGGGGGATTATGGTAAAAAAAAAAATCTGATTAGATGCAAAAGTTTTTATTACATTTGTAGTTGGTGCATGAATCGAGCAGTAGTCAAATATTTTTTTAGGAAATGACTTGACATTGACGCAACTAATCTTTTGTTTTTTATTAGCTTTATATGACTAAAGCCTCATATTTTAAAATTTTTCATGTAATTTTTTGTTTTTGCTGCGCATCAAGTCAAAAGCACATCCAAAGCAGCAATGAATGCAGGGGTGCCGAACTCGCATCCGAATTGATGACTGAGCAGGAAAGTAACTTGCAGTAATGAATCGCTAAATTGTTCGACCAGTCTTCAAGAGTTCTTGGGCATCTTAATAAAGGAGGCACACACATGGGGAAAGCATAGTGCTTTGTGAGTGCCCACGCGCAACGAAGCTAATACAATGTAGAGCAGCCACGTGGGCTGTACTGCGAAAAAAAAAAAACGTTTGTGGTAAAAAAAAGACAGTGCCTACAGAATAAAATCTGTCAAGAAGTTGCAGAAGAAAGTTGGCAATTATCTTTTATCTGAACTCATTGCTGCAAAATTATTCACTTGGCTTAAAGTGTGACATACATCTACATTATGGCACATCTTCAAAAACACGAAAACAATAAAGAGCATACTGCAATAGAGGCTTGAGCAAGGTGGTGTATAAAGGAAAGCTGTTGGAAAGCTAGCTGCCACATTCAGACAGTGCATATAGATGAACTTGTACACTGTTTTTAATTAGTGGACATCCTTTGCTACCAAATGATCCCCCATGTTTCTTTCCTGTCTGCACATTTACTTAGACTGTCTTGCTGTCAACGTAGTCTGTCGCCGCACGTCTGTACGTGGAGAATAAGAATAAGTCACTTCGGCCATTCCTCTCAAGTATGAAGAGCTGTCCGACCAGTGTATCACTGGAACTATGTAACGGCTCATGCTGCGATACGAAAAATGTGTGGTGGCCATTTATTTATATCCTGACTCCGTCACCTCTGGAATGTGAAAAGCAAGATGTGGACCACGAACGAGAGGAGGCGATGCTAGAGTCGGCGCTTTAGTTCCTCCACAGGCAGATTCGCAACTTTAAAAGACAGTGACCATCCCCTGACATGTTAGTGACGATAGTTCAACACACCCGCATAGGACATCTTAGCTTGCCACTAGCTACCTACATAATAACAATGAAAAAAAAAGCTCGTGTCATTTACACGTTTTGTACTTTTTTTAGTGTACTCCCTCGTTGTTGGGGAAACTATAGATGGTTTCGCGCAGCTGTTTTAGGAAGAAAACAGTGGGATAATTAGAAGAAACTCAATAGTCCTGCAAGCCTCTTAGTACCTGTTCACATTTTGAGCAGTGCTTGTTTGGAAGTGTAATGTTTCTTTGCAAAATTTTGTAGTAATATTGTTCTATTCCTGTAGTTCATTAGAGACTACTATTTATTGCCCATTTCGAACCCAGCACATTTCTTAGCTTGCACCATTGCTGTAGATAACCATGCACAAAGGGACAATGGTGGAAAATAGCACCTATCAACTAAGCATTTTAGAGTGAAAATCTGGGTATTAAAAAAAAAAAAAGGTTGGTGATAAGGTTTGTTGCTGTGTCAAGGAAGCATGTAGAACAGGCTTGACATTTTAGGGTTGAATGATCTGAAAGAAAGTGCAAGGAATCTGTGAAATGTTTTTGCAAGGAACAGATAGAGTATTTTTATCTAGAAAAAAAGATATATATTTGTGGCTAGCTTTATAAAAGGGCAATTTGGCTGAACACTGGTTGGAGGAAAATTACTGAAGCCATAGCAAAGATACAGCATTTCCAATGGCGAACTGGAATGGTCATCTTGAGAAAGTCTTGTTATATATTCACTTTAGCACTACTGCTGACTGATGTCAAAAGCTTTAAAAGCATGCTGTTATAGTTATTGTGCCCATATGTATTCGCAACTTTTCATCGTGGTTATCACATGAAGCTTTCCCGACTGTATACTGGTTTAGCAGGCAGAAAGTCTCTGTAATTTGACTGGTCATTAAACAAGTTCACGTGTAGCTTATTCATTACTACATACCATAGACACGTACATTTGCAAATTAATACTGGTGAAGAAACACCTTGTTGCTTCATGTGTAGATTAACTTTCATGTGAGCCAGCTTTATCGTTATCCACATATATTGCCATTTTAAGAGCATCCAGTGTGAAAGTAATCTTGAGATAATAGCTCTGGATCAACGTTGCTTATAGATTTTTCTTAAGAAGCTGTTAGCCTTTAGTTAGGTATGTGCAGGGAGGTAAGGCTGTATGGAGCCCCTCTCGAATGCAGAGCGCACTTTTCAGCTCGCCTGAAACTTGTCAGCTTTCTGCATTTTTCTTTTTGCGAAGAGTGACGTCATTGTCCACATCTGCATGCTGCATTAAATTTTTGCACATGTAAGCCTCACTATGTGGGAGCTGTAACAAGTAATGTGCACTGTTCATAACCTGGATTGCTAGGACCATAAAATGCTTACTTATTCTCAGTCGTACATAAAACCAACATATGTGGAACGCGTCACTGTGTGCACCATTGCACCAGTTTAGGGATTGTGTTGAATCAAGTTAGCCATTTGATAAATATGGCATCGTCTATAGTTAGGAATGTTCTGTCTCTTGTGCAGTGAAATTGGTTCTTTTTAAGAAGGGCCTAAGAAACTTCAACATTGTGTTTTTAGGCAGTAAAAAAAAAAGCAATGAAGGTGAGTGAGCAGTAGTTTTTCTTTTATTAAACTCCCTATAGGAGGACTTAATTGCTTTTTTTTTTATTTTATACCAAGAACTGAGCAGTGCTAGCATTAAATAAAGATATAAAATCTAGTGCCTGTAATTTTCAGACCAGTGAAACACAGTTCTTTATGTTTCCACCAATGTCTTGGTGGGAACTTGAAACAAATCGAACTTATTCTTACAGAATTGGAAAACCTATAGAAGAGTACCTTTGCAAGATTCTAATAGTATTTCTTAGGTGATATATTTCTGGCCAGTTTTACTTGTTTTTGCAGTTTTAAGTGTTTATTTCTGGCCAGTTTTACCATCCCTAAGCAGTCCACTGGCACAAGGCACATGATAGTGTGTTGCTGGCACTTAAAATTTTTGCTTGAAGCACCATCAATGTATTGTGTGGGCATATTTTGTGTCGTCTACCACCTAGCTGAATACTGTCAGACGTGTCATTTAGGGAAATTCACTCATGTGATGGACTCTTAGTGATTAAATTGGCACTGTTTGGAGTGACATTCTACCATGTTGAGAGGCTTATATCTTCCTGTGTGATCTTCATGAGCATGGCCGGGAGGGGGGGTTCAAACCTCCCCCGAAATTTTTCAATTTTGCTTGAATATATATACATACACAGATGTATGTGCAAATGCACAAAGTATAGTTGAATCCCCCCCCCCCCCCAAAAAAAAATTAAAAAAGAATTCTGGCTACGTTCCTGTTATTATGTAGTGCTCTGTAAGAAGCGATAGGGGGAAATGTTCCAAAATGTGTAATACATAGAGCACAGTTATAAGATTGCATGCCATATATCAGTGTAAAATAGGAACATGAAGTTGCTACAAGCTTTTACGCTTGAGACTGTTTGCTACATGTGTGTTATTTATTTTCTCACAGTTATTCTTGAGTTTTCTTTTGCAGGACTTTTTTTTAAAGCTTCCTTCTTTGTGTCTTTATTTAAATTTATGCTAATGGTGCATGTAGGCATGTTTGATGTTTCTCAGGAGAGGCAGTGAACTCTGGGAGGCCTTGTGAGTGATAGTTGCTAAAGTGTGCTACACTTTCTGAACTCACGAGCAATGTTTGACGGAATAAAAGGCAACAGAATCGAAAGTTGGGCTAGTTGAATGACAGTTATACCAAGGAATAAAAGGCATTTGAGCAGTTATTTGAGCATTCGGCAAGCGTGCTTCGGAAGTGCAGCTGTAGTGGAAAAAATAACAGACGGCAGCTGACTGCCTGGAAGTAACCTTAACTGCTGGGAACATATCTGGAAGTTTTTGCAGCCACTTACCAGATGGCTAAGTAAATGTTTTTTTCCAAACTCTGTCTTGCTTGTGATTGTTCTGAAAGTACTGAGCCATGCCTGTTCAGATGTGCTTAACCTGTTTTTTACGTTTAGCACTCTTGGTATTCTGGTCATCTTTCTCTTGCTGAGCACATTTACAGAGGCCTTTGATGTTTTTGTCGCTAAACGTAGTCAAGCTACTGCTATGCACTGTGAAAGCATATTAGTGCACAATTTACAGCTTCCGTGCATGTTGTCATGTGGCCTTACGAAAATCATCATATCAGGCCAGCACTACATTGATTGCTTTGTTAATTTATACTCCATTTACATTTAGTTGACCTAGTGCATTTGAGGATATGAACAGGCACTCAGTGCACATTGCTTCTTACATTGTGTCTTGTGGCTGGCTGTGCTTATATGTACGTGCTGGCATAAATTCAAATGCCGACAACTCGGGTTTTGCAGAGAAGTGGTCCTACACACAGCATTTTCAGCGCAAGCTTTTGCAGAAATGCTGCATCATTCTCACAAACAGCTGTTCTCAATTTGTGTCAATTTTGTTGGCGTAGGTGGTGGAGTGACAAAGTGTGTTTTGTCTATGCTGTGCCCTATGTGGACCCTATGTATGTTGTGGCTGTTCATGGAAGTATATTCCTGACTGCAACAGTCTTGAAGCCCGCCATTAACTTTAATGGTTTCAGCACATGCGTCATCGTCTTTGACCTAATGTTATGTTGTAAAAGATCCCCGCTTATTTGATTTGGTAATAGCAGCCACCAGGGCACCATTGTAATATGCTTGTCAGCAAAATGCTTTGTTGAGCTGCTTCATGATGATCTAAATTATTGCTCTCTTCTGTTGAGTAAGAAATTGTGATGCTGTCACTTGAAAAGCCTTTTAAGTTGGGCACTGTAAACCACTGCTAAGGATGTGCAATTCTTTTGCATGCTGGCCAAGATCAAAAAAGAGCTATTTGGGAAATCAGCACTGCTCATAGCAAGTTTTAGTTATGTGTAGGGCTGCTATGCTTTCATTGTTTGCACAACTGCCTCTATTCAAGCAGCATCTCTGGAACCATGACATCTCATTCTTGTGCTCATGTGCCATGAATACCAATGTCCCTCCTCCACAAGCGAATCTGTGTGTTCGATTGCCTGATTGGACCTATGTTTTGTGCTAGTTTCGTGCTTGATTTTCCTGCTGTTGTCGAGGAGGCATGAATACACATGCAGAGTAGTATTTTGGCATTCGTGTAGAAGTGGTGAATTGCGCCCTTTAACTGGTTCGAATGATGGCTTGCATAAAATAATATTATTTTATTTATTTTTCTTTTTATTTGAATTGGTGCAATACCCCTTTAGTGGTGCAATCTTTCCATGTTTCCGAATTTACATCCCTTTTAATGAGGTGTCATTACTCAGGGCTACTTGAACGTAGCTGTTCTGCTCCATGATATTTCTAGTACTGAGATGTCACTGAAGATAGTAAATGTTGGTTCATGGTTCACCTGATTGGTCCTGCATCTGCACCTCATTGTTTTACAATTAGTACAGACATTATGTGGGCATACTTGAAAGCCACTGTCATTGGCACGTGCGCTTCGTGCCGCTCTTTCCACTCGACATGCTTGAATAATCTCTGACAGTTGAGTCCACTTCACGACTGGCAGCAGAATCAAGCACGAATGAGTAGACTCCCTTTCAAGGCAAGCATGAAGAGAGCCTGAATGATTGCACTTTCCAGAAGATATCGATTTCATTGGAAATTGAGCAAAACTGGACGGATTGTACAGCGTGTTGGAGCATCTTAGTTACCAACGTTCGTCGCAAAGGGAACTTTCATAACGAATGCAAAGCCAGCTTGACTGAAGATGGACTCGTATGATGGATGAGCATTACATTTTCTGGTGGCATCACCTTCTCTTATCATGGTGTGTTGTCTCGAGCCCGTTCTGCAGTCGATTGTCAGACTTGCATTACTGTGCGCGAATGTGTGATAGAAAGAAGACTAAAGCTTTCTGTACGAACATTGTTGCCAGTCAAACATCTTTTGTTACTGTTTATCAAAGAAAAAGAACTCTTGATTCTAGTACAAAGAAAAGCTGGCACTTTGATTTTTTTACCCCCATGTGACTACAAGTCTGGCGTTTTTTTTTTACTGTTTTACTTCATTGTGCATTGTCTTTCCGTGTAGAATAAATGCTTGTTGATTGAAGCATCTGTCTCATGTCTGATTGCAGCTAGAAATGCATGCATAACACAAATGCAAAAACGGACCAATATGAAAGGCAATTCTCAGGCAGCACTGCCTTACATATATTGCTTATTTTTATTACAATTAGGTAGATACTCCTAGCACATTTTTGCTGTTTGCAATAGTGCTGCTGTGAGTTTCTGCAAAAAGTCCAAATATAAAACATCACCCTGCATGTCATATGTTCTATGTGAAAGTCAACGCTTGCGAGGCATGCGGATAATCTTGGTTCAAGCAGAGGGGAAACACGTTGGTAGTCTTCGTGCAATAGGCGCATGAGGAAGAGGGGGTTCTCCTGGTGGGGATTGTGTGCCTTGATCAGCAACTCTGTAGTTTGATCGGCCAAGCATGGTTGCCCACAAGTGCGCATGCTGTATTCTTAAAGTGATTTGAGTACTGCTTATAAAAATTTCTGGGGTTTTGCTTGTCAAGAGCACGCTGTGATTACGAGGCCCACATTACGTGGAGGGCTCTGGGAATTCCCACCACCTGGGGGTTCCTTAAAGTGCACATAAATGTAAGTACAGGGGCCTCTAGCATTCCACCTTCATCAAAATCGGATATCCACAGCAATGATGTAGTGATTACCGTGTTGGTTGGTGACCTGAAGGTGGAGGGTTCGATCCCAGCTGCAGTGGTTGCATTTTAATGGAGGCGAAATGCCAGAGGCACGTGTGCTGTTTGGCATCAGTGCATGTTAAAGAACCCTAGGTGGCCAAAATTTTTGAAGCCCTCCACATCAGCTTGCCTCAAAATCTTACTGTGGTTCTGGCATGTAAAACCCCATGTATTATTATCCAAACCTGATTATAATAATAATTAATGGGGTTTACCATCTCAAAACTATTATTATAAGACACCATAGTGGATGGCTCAGAAACTTTGGACCATCTGGGGGTTCATTAATGTGCACCTAAATCAAACTACACGAGCCTCAAGCATTCTCGCCTCCATAGAAAATGCGGCCGTGGTGGACGAGATTCGATTCCGCGACATGCGGGCCAGTAGTCAAGTGCCATAATACCTATACCACCATGGCATGTTATTAAAATCTGTAAACGAACCTGCGACTCAGTTCAGCAAACAAGCACCGTAACCACTACACTACCGCGGAGGCCAGCTCATACTCTTGTACATGTTATATTTGCATTGCAAAGTTTGCAGTAAAGCCATGGCCACCACGGCTGGAATCGAACCTGAAATTTTCAGTGCGGTAAACGAGCATCATAACCACTGAACTGCCGTGGAGGCCAGCTCATAGCCTTGTACATGTTATATTTTCATAGCAAAATTTGCAGTATAGCCATGGCCTCCGCGGCTGGAATCGAACCTGCAACTTTCAGTGCGGCAAACGAGCACCATAACCACTACCACTGCAGAGGCCAGCTGATACCCTTGTACAAGTTATGTTTTCATTGCAAAGTTTGCAGCTAAGCCATGGGTATCACGAAGGCCTTTTTGCTCGCTCATTGCAACAGCTGCATTTCATTATGCCAGCGTTTCGTTAAGTTACGCCTTATAGTGTGCAAAAGTGGTGAGCAGCAACCTTCGAATAATGTTCTAGTGTATTGCTATTACATTAACTACTTCGCCCTTGCTGCAAAACTGGTCTTTTTTATGCTCTTGCTAAGTATGAAATTTCAAAATATCAACTAATTCAAAGCATAGCAAGAAGAACTTAGCATTTTCTCCTTTCTGCCGTACGATAAAGTTGATCTAAAGCTGGTCTTATCGAAATTGCAGTCCCCCTTTCTTTTGCAACAAGATAAATATCTGGGGTTTAACGTCCCAAAACCACCATATGATTATGAGAGACGCCGTAGTGGAGGGCTCCGGAAATTTAGACAACCTGGGGTTCTTTAATGTGCACCCAAATCTGAGCACACAGGCCTACAACATTTCCGCCGCCATCGGAAATGCAGCCGCCGCAGCCGAGATTTGATCCCACGACCTGCGGGTCAGCAGCCGAGTACCTTAGCCACTAGACCACCGCGGCGGGGCCTTTTGCAACAACAACCAGGTTGTTCACCCTTATATACACTTCTATAAAACGTTTTTTACACTGCTGAAAGAACGTTGTGCTTTTATTAAGACCTTGCTGCAATGTAGCAAGGCATGCTTTTTGCCAACGTATTTAGTGTAAGCATTACCTGTATATATCCTGTAGACTGAAAAATAGGCAGTGTGACTCGAAGTGGTAAACAAACTTGCAGCTTCAGTATTTATGCACGGTAAGTTTCACTAAATCATCAAGCTGAATAAGATGCTGGGAGCATCCCAATCATACCCATATTTTGGCATGAGAATATGATTAGATGTTCAGACATGCCCAATTTTATTTTCTGGCATTTCCTCTGCTACTGGGCTTTGCCAATAAAGCACCTACGGTCTTTGCAGGCTTAATTTTGTGTTCCATCTTCAGGTAAAAGAACAAGACATTCCTATTAGGACAGCATAAATATTGCACAGATAATAATGCATTCTTGCAGCAAAGTAGGATTGTTTAAGGGCTTGTCTGCCACTCACATATAACCAAAAGTTATATCACGGTTCCGTCACGGCTTTTCTACTGTAACTCAACTGGTTGAAATGACACATGACTTCGCCGCAGCTATTAATGAGAGAAAACAGATAGACGTAATTTTTTTAGATTTTGCTAAAGCATTTGACAAGATTTCCCATTCTAAATTGCTCATTAAACTGAACACATTATTAAAAAACAGGAAACTGTGTAGCTGGATTAAATCGTATCTAACATCCCGGCAGCAATACGTTGTTTTTAAAGACACTCCATCAAACATGTTACCTGTTGGCTCAGGGGTTCCCCAGGGCTCCGTGCTTGGCCCGTTGTTGTTTTTGGTGTTCATAAATGATATTGTTGATAATTGCAGGGTTAAAATACGATTATATGCAGATGATTGTGCGTTGTATTCACTTATTCACACAGTTGAAGACCAAGTTAAGCTTAACATAGAAATTGAGAAACTCATGAAGTGGTGTAATTCTTGGCAAATGTGTGTAAACTATCAAAAAAGTGTGGCCATGTCGATAACAAATAAGAAGTGTCCCCTTGTTTACAATTATACAGCTGATGGAAACATCCTAAATCGAGTAACAGAGTACAAGTATCTAGGCTTGCATATATGTAGCAACCTCCACTGGGATCGACATATCGACTACATATCTAATAATGCAATGATGAAATTACATTTTTTGAGACGTTCTCTTCGCTATTCATCATACGACACTAAAATTCTGGCGTACAAATCTCTTATCCAACCCATTTTGGATTATGGAAACATTATCTGGGATCCTTACACCAATGTCAATATCCATAAACTAGATAGAATCCAAAACAAGGCTGTCCGATTTATTTTCAAGAAATACGGCCCAACATCAGTCTCTGAATTAGTTGCCAAAGCGGGATTCAAACGGACTTCAGAAAGAAATAGAATTTCTCGTTTGTTGTTCTTCTTTAAGATAGTTAATGGTCGAATAAATAGTAACACAGGTGAATACTTAAAGTTCTCTTCCGGTTACTTTACCAGACAACGTCATAAACACACTGTCGTTCCTTTCCAGCCCAATAATAATACTTTCAAGTATTCCTTTTTTCCGCGCACTGCCAAAGAATGGAATGAGCTTGACAGCAAAATTATTGAAACAGACAGTATCGAGGCATTTGAAAAATTTATATCTGACTAGTGTTTTTTTTTTCTCTTCGTGAAACATTTTTTATGTTGTTTGAAGTGCTTTGTTCTGTGTTGACTGCAGTATTGTACTGTTGATTTTGTTGTACTATGTACACCCACTATGCTATGGCCCCAAGTTGGGGCTAGCAGTATTGCTAAATAAATAAATAAATAAAAGTTGGCAGTGTTGCCACTAAACACTAAACTAAAATGCTATGCCTTTTACAGTAACTTGCAAGTACCTCACATAGTGATGTATGTCAAGACGAAAGTGTGTGTTCTGCTTTTCCTTTACGCTTTCATTCGAGAAAGGTGAAGCTGCACCCAAGAGGTAAAGGGCTTCCCTGCACTGACAAAAAAAAAAGCAGCAAAGTTGATTATCTGCTGTAAAAAGTACTCGTCAAAGTATGGCTGGAATTTTTGTTTACAACTTTCCCTGTTGCCGTGCAATGGGACTTGTTTTCAGTGCAAAAAGGGTTAATGCAGGAAGCTGGGCCGATTGTCTAAATGCAAGATGTGTAGAGCACTTAGATGAAAAAACCTCCAAATTACATTACTGTTGAGAAGACGAGTATTCCTACACTGTCATCACAGGTGTGTTCTAGTAATCTATTTTGTTACCCCCCCCCCCCCCCAAAAAAAAAAAAGTTATGAATATTCCTAGGCTTGTGTGAATAGTGACTTTGGTCAAATAATTTTGAATCATATTCAAGTAGTATGTATTACACACATATTACAATACATATATAATATATTCTATGCGAATATCCATTTTTCTTTATAAAGAAAAATGGACATATTTGTCATGACCTGATTAATATTATAATACATATATAATATATTCTATGCGAATATCCATTTTTCTTTATAATGAAAAATGGACATATTTGTCATGACCTGATTAACCTGTGTAATATATTTTGAAGATTGAAACAAGGCCCGTGCCAATGCCATTCTTTTTGGTTATAAGGAAGGAAAAAACAACTTTGAAAGTAGTTCAAAAGCAGGATTTGACTTTCAGTAGAATGCTAGTGATAACCGATAAAATATGTTTTATAATGTACCATATCTACAGCATATAAGCTGGTGTAACAAGCTTTTAAATCGACCCCGCCGCGGTGGTCTAGTGGCTAAGGTACTCGGCTGCTGACCCGCAGGTCGCGGGATCGAATCCTGGCTGCGGCGGTTGCATTTCCGATGGAGGCGGAAATGCTGTAGGCCCGTGTGCTCAGATTTGGGTGCGCGTTAAAGAACCCCAGGTGGTCAAAATTTCTGGAGCCCTCCACTACGGCGTCTCTCATAACCGTATGGTGGTTTCGGGACGTTAAACCCCACATATCAACCAATCAAGCTTGTAAATCGATGTGAGGATAATATGTTCATGTAACTTTGAAGTGGGGCCCTGCGGCCAAGCGAATTTCCCTTCAGTAAGTATTTTCACAGTTTAGCTCTCCTCTACTGCAGTGAAACCACTTTTGTAGAGGTTACATGCAGACTAATATACATTTGAATAGGTGCTTTTGTGGCTTAGCGCCTCTCCACTGCAGTGAAACCACCTTTACGAAAGGTTACATGTGGATTACATTAATTTGTTCACTTTGAATACTTCAAAATTTTCAGTCATTTAAATTCGAATCGAAGCATATTCAAATACAGTAATATTCAATACAGTAAGTCTAGATATTTTGGCTTTGCAACCACTGTGAACCAACACAGAAAACTGGTTTCTCCTCTGTGGAGCAGAGTGCAGAACATATGGACGTTATCACAATCAACTTCGCTGTCCGCAGTGGATGTAATAAATGGACATGAACAAATTGTAACAATTCCTTTTTTTTTTTTCAGCAATTGCTCTAACTATTGAAAATTACACAGTCTAATTAGAAAGTCAAGAAACTGCTTGTTTCTAGGGTTTTTCTTGAAACTTGTATCACGCTGTTGCAAATGTTTCACCAGACGGTTGTTGAGACGATGGTGATGGTGGTGGAGGCCTGGTTTCCTTTACAGTGGTGGTAGTTGTCTCTGTTGCACCAGGAGCTTCCTCTGGCTGCTCCTTTGGCTTAACAAATGTCTTCCTCATGGGCTCCTTTGGTGGTTGCCAGTCTGGGATGATCTTCGAGTGTAGACGCCATGTACCATACACGTTTGAAATGTGCTTCTCGAAGACTACATATTCCAAGACATCCTTGATTATCGCTTCATTTCCATGCATTAGACGGCCAAAACGATCGTAGACTGCCAATGTCTGTAAAGAAAAGCAGAGCCAGACAAGATTTTGTACACCTTATTTAGAACACAAGAAACTTCCTTGAAAACCGAATCATTCCAAAGAAGCAGATTCACTCAAGCTGTACTATAACATAGTTCAAATGGGGTGCTGCACGTAAATATTCACCAAATATACCTTCAGGCTAACAAATACTAATAGTACTGTATAGACTCGCGTAATGAAGGCATTTTTGAAGACGATAGTCTTTCTTGGGGACCTTCGATAAAAAAATTTTGGTCTGTCTGTCTGTAATTTTGTCTGTTTTTCTGCCCTAACGATACCTCAAACGACACTAAATGGCCTACTCCATCTGCAGCGCCCACCAATATTGCTCAATGTTTAGCGTTTATAGTTGTGCGATTGTCAATAAAAGAAGCAAATATTGCGCATATCTGAGGCCCCATAACAACACTTCTATGTTTTGTATGTCTGCCTTTATACTAGAAGAGGCACACACAAGTAACTCTAAGGACTGTAGCGTTTATCGCGCTGCGCTGACAGTGCAATGCGATGCTCAAAGAGGTGTTTCCAACACTTTGCTTTGACAACACGGTGGTGGCACTTGCCCGTCGCTTCGCATTCTACACCTTATCACCTTCGAGTCTGACGCGCATCTTCCTCTGCAGTCGCATGCGTCTTCGTTTTCGAAAATAACTGCCAGATAGCGCTTGTGTCTAACGTACCTAGATGCGTTTGTTCGCCTCCGCTACACGCTCGAGGCACTCTAACGCAGCGCCTTCAGAATACCATTCACCAATTTTCTTGCGCAGAACATCAAATAAACGTTTTGTTCACTCTCTCCAAACGCAAGACTATCGTCTTTCGAGGACATTTACAGTGTAACATGTAGATTCAGGCCAATTTTTTTTTTCCCCTGAAAATTCGAAGCAAAGTTGAGGGTGCATTTGTTATGCAGGAAAAATTTTATGAAAACTACTTTGGGATGAGCAAAAATGCGCGAATGCAAAAAAAAAGTTACGTCACTTAGTCTTTCGCAACTGAGATAAGCGTGCACTTTTTAGAAACAGCTTCAGCGCTGCACTTCACTCATATTTGGTGGTTGATGGCGCTATCTTCTGCAAGCTGTCCCCGCGCCACCAGCGCAGGCCTTAAAACCGTTTTTTGGCTATATTTTCTCAATCTCGTTTAATCGCAACAGTGGTATTTGCTGTGATCTCGAAGGATACCCAGAAGCGTGCGCTACGACTTTACGACGCACTCTGCCAACTTCGTGGCAACCTCGCACTAAAACTGTGACGACACCATTGACATTGTAGCGAGTAACCAACATTGCAGCAAGCTACCACTGAAGCATCAAAACAAACCGTTGATAACAATATTAACGACAAAATACGGCCGCTGCCTCAGTGTCCCCATGAGAAGTGACTTTGGGAAAGGTAGCCTATATCTTGCATTCCTTGAAGTATGTGGGATCACAAGCATGAAGAGCAAATAGCAATCAAATTGAGAACTGGGGTCCATGTTGCGGAAATCATAATGCTCTTTTCTCAGCGACTAGTAATTTTTTCTGGTTTTTCAGAAACCTGCGACGCAATGGCGACGAATGGCCCTTCGTGACAGCCAAGGCGACAGCACATCCTGTCGTCATCGCTCAAAAATCACGCACATATGGTTGGGCCATAAAGTGTCCCATTTGCAGGAAGCACCTGGTGGTTGGTGCGGGCAGTTTCATGACCTTTGCTCGCTGTGTGCTTGTCCGGTGCGATGTCTCTGCACTTGCACCGCTCGCGAACCCCGCTATAGTGCACGGATAATGAAAAAACCAAAAGGACGGGACATGCCGTGCACACGTAGACAAAAAAAACTGTGCGAGCAAAGGGGGAGGGAGGGATAGCAAGTCGAGGTAGCGGAGGGGGAGTTGGCATTATAATAAAAAATGAAAAAGATTGACAGGTGTCGGTTTATCGGACTGCAGCGGATGAATGTAAAAGGTGTGCGTATTATGCGAGAGAAAAAAAAATCCAAATTATGCTAACTGAAAAAGAAGGGGGAGCGGGGGGTGCATTTGTTATACATGTGTGTTCATTATGCGAGTAAATTAAATACATTATTTAAGTTTTTTTCCTTTATGTACAAAGAAGGGAGTAACATAACATTTATTTTTGTGTGCAGAATGGCTGCTGATGCAGAAAAAGAATTGGGGAGTGTGTAAAATTAAAAAGCGAGACAAGCCAAAATTATTCTAAAATTCATGAAAAAAAACAGGCCCCCCCCTCCCCCATGCCTGCACGCACGCATGCACACACACAGATTGGGGAGGAAGGAGCAAGGCATTTGTCGTGCTTCTGCATGATTGCGCTGTGTTACAATTTAGTGCTTGTCATATTTGTTTTGGGAAAGTGTCAACTACGTTGAATGCCATATTTGAAATATCAAGTTAGAAGCCTGAGTTTTTTCTTTTTTTTTATCCGATTTTCTTAGCAGGTTTTCTGTTCCTTCTAACGCTGTGTTATTTTCGCAATTTAAAACTCAACGCAATAAAAGCGACAAATCTTCACCAGACCGAAGTCCTGCATGCGAAGTTGGTTTCTTTTTAACGTGCTTTCTTTTTCAGCATTCTAATTAACAAACTTTTATCAGTACTATTTCTCTGGTATCCCTTCTATTTTTTTCTTCTATAGTTTCTGGTTTAAGTGTACGCATCTATTCCAATGTGCCCAGCTTTCCATCATGCTGAAAAAAGTTACTCGTGAACCATTTGTCGAATTCAGTTCTTATGGCCGTGCTCATGTTTCACAGAGCGTGGCCATTGGTGGAGGCCACCACGAACAAAAATAACCCCATTGTGCAACACTTTGCTTCTGCCTGTCAGTTAGCAATATACTACACAGTGCTAATTAATTTACCTAGCTTGAAAGGAAGACTCACATATTTTGATGCTCTTTAAAGACTAGCAAAGGCTGCCTTATAGGTTTGAAGGATTTCTTAAAGTTTCAAGGACTGCACGTACATGCAACTTCACCTAGATTTTTGGCCTCTTAAGTAAACCTTATCTGACCATGGTAGATTGTCCAAGGATAAAAAACGCATTTGAAGATACCTTCATTTTGGGCCCCACTGCACAATACTCACCTGCTGACTGTGAAATCGCATGGTGATCTGGGCAAACAAGTTCTCCTTGCTGATCATGTCGGTGCACCGGATGTGCACTGCCCGTGGAGGTTCCAGGCTGCGCACAAACTGCCACCGCAGTGTCTTCCGCTCTATGTTCTCCATTATAATCTGCATTCAAAATATCAAACACTTGTTTTTGCAAGCTTTCCAAGACATTTCTCATTATAAAAATGCAAAATTTTGACATGGAGGTTCCTCTACACATACACTATTTGATGACAAATTTTAATTGTAGTTCAAAATTTTAATGCGATGATTCGTGGTAGATATGGGCATTTCTCAGAATAATGATGGAAAATAGCATAGGGAATGCCGGCCTACTAACCCAAAAAATTTATTATTAATGCCTTAGTGGGTATCAAGCAAGTGTGCTTGCGTTTGTTACCCAATGAGTGTTTTTAAAGGATTTGAAAGGCCGCTCTTACTAGCTTCGCTGTGACTGTGCTGCACCTTCCACGCGACTGGCATTTTTTGTGTGCATGTGTGTGGGCACGTGCGTAGATGAATGAGTATGCAATATAGCGTGTAGCGTTGTCGTTCCGCTCAACTCTTGAAAGACGAAACTGTTGCAGCTAACCATTAAGAGCGTGGCCAAAGTAAAAATGCAAGTCTGAACTACACTTGCAAGACGGTTGGTAATAAAGGCAAGTACAAATGGCACTGTGTGTGTTTGTGTGTGCACATGGACACGCACATGCAAAATAGCAAACAAAATAGCACATGCAAAATAGCAAGCAGCTGTATCGCTTGCGTGCGACTTTGTTATCGTCCTCTACCCTTAAAGACAAAGCTGTTTACAGCCAACCATTGGGAGTGTGGCCAATGTGAAAGCCACAGGTCTGAACTACGCACTCGACAGAAGATTGGTAATAAAGGCTAGTACTAATGGCACTGCAACACATTAAAACGGCAACTAGTGCGAACGATACTATGCCACATCGCTGCCAAGTCTATACTTGTCAGTTATGTGTGAGATACACAAGAGGGTATACAACAGCACACTCCCTGATTTATTGGTGCCTTGCTGCGGCTTCCATGTGTAATTATGGGTGCATAGTGTATGTCAAGCTACATACAAGATGCATGATCTGCCCAACGTGCCCGTAACGGCTGAGCCAGCATACCTTACATACGCCAACGAGTAAGCCACTTCCGTCATTGTGCTAAGTGCTACGTAAAAAGGGTTGCTACACATGTCTGCATTGCTTCTCCAAAAAGACCAAATAATGTGCGTAAAATATTAAGCAAGCCTCCCCCCCCCCCCTCACCATGGTGAAAAATAATTGGACAGGATATGAGGGAGAAGGCTAGCACTGTTGTGGATCGAAATTCCATGTAGTTGTGGAAGAGCTGCCAAGAAAACAGAATGCATACCTGTGCTTCTAATGAAGTGCTTTATTGAATATGCATGCATTTACAGTTTTTACGGATCTAGAGAGAATCATGATGTAAAATTTTATGTGTTACGAAAAGGAGGAAAGACTGCGCTTGTGTGAATAGTGAACATTAGGCTCAAAGGGAATAGTGATTTTGGCTGAATAATTTTGAATCAAATTTTGATAGTATATATCACTTTCAGTATTGTGAAGAAAAATGGGCGTATTTGTCACATTCTTTTTGGTTCAAAGGAAGTGGAAACAACTTTAAATTTAAATAGTAGCAGGATTTGACTTTCGGTATAATGCACGTGATAACCAGTAAATTATGTTCTCTTTTAAAATTGACTATACTCAAAGCACATAAGCCGATATAACAAGCTTTTAAACAGAAGAAATGTTGAGCTTAAGTGAGGGTAATACGTTTATTCTCGAAACGAGGCTTTGCAACAATGCGATTTTCTCTTAGCTGGTGTTTTCACGGCTCAGCACCACTTTGCTGCAGTGAAACAGTCTTTACAGAAGGCTACATGCGGAATAATGTACACCTAATCGTTCATCTCAAATACTTCAAAACTTTCAACCATTTAAATTCTAATAGAAGTAAATTCGGATACAGTAACACTCATTCGAATATTTGAAGCACACGAATATTCGCACAAGCCTAAGAAGGATGTTCTTCGAATGTTCTAACAATGTGTGACAACTCGAATGCAACCCCTGAGGCACCGTACTACAAAACTACCAAGAACTTCTACACATATCTAAAGACTCTCACAACATGGTTTCCTAGAAACCACTTCTGCAGGATTATGTAGCATAAAAGAAGTAAAAAAAAGGAAAAAGGTTGGAGGAGAAAAGGGCACTTGCTTGGATAGAGGAACTTGTTCAGAATTTCGCAGTATGTGAATACATTGTCTTTTGCACTGGTGGTACTAGTTTTCGGCATTAGCGCAACTTGGCTCTACTCAATTCCAATGCTTGGCTTCGTTTTCACTGCATATTTCTCTTACAAATGCCAACACAAAATTCAGCAACCTTACATTACAATGCTCTGTTGCTGTGACATTCAATGGGCAGCTAGCAACGAAGACATTTTGAACACTCTGAGAATACTCACAGGGTAGCAGTGCTCTGTCACAAGGTCCTGAAGCTTTTCCTCATCTCGACTGTAATAAAAACAATGCCAGAACAACAAGTCATGGCATTGGCATTCACAATGACAGGAAACTTTGGATTGAACGATTCGGCAGTAACAGTGCAAGGGGTTTGAAGGAGGCACATGAGCATGAAGATGAAAAGCTCCTTTATGCGGTTCATACAGTTCAGCTTATATGAATGCGATGCTGTACACATCTCGCATTGCATCTTTCTGTGGTAGCAGTTAAGCTCCTAAAGAGGCCCTGCAACACTTTTTGAGCATGGTCAGAAAACGCTGCCAATCGGTAGTAGAGGCTCCCAACAACACGCGAGCCAAATATTATAGCGTAGCACACGGCCTGGAATTCACAATAAATTATCAAAGTCAGCTAAAAATAGCTTTCTATTCTCTCGACAAATCACGGAATTAAGCCCAGTAAGCCCAATCTATCAGCCCTTGGCTGATTTGAACATGGCGCACTCGGCTGTTACAGAGGTCGCCGTGATAGACCGTCATTTGTCCACGGGTCGCGCACGATCGCACTGAAAAAGCCGCATGATCGAAGAAAAAAAAAATGCTCAAGGTCACGAGGCGCGAGATGGCGTTTTTTGTTCGCCCTTCTCATCTCTGCCTGCTCAGCTTCCAGCGCTTTTCGTCGGGACGAGAGAAGAAAGAATGTGATTGCAGCGTGTGACAAATCTTTGCAACTCTGCTCGTACTGGACGGATTCTTAAAAATTATTGCGGCGTTCAATTTGTAAGGTAATGTGCTTTCCCAGTGAATTAATTAATTGGTTACTCAAAAAAGTGTTTCAGAGGCCCTTTAAGAGTGAGGTTTGCCATATGACCTTGCAAAATCTTTGGTCAAGCTTTTGTACTTGCCTCATATGTCTATACAGTACTGTACAGCTTCTAAGAGAAACAATTTATTCCTGACTATTTGCAAGAGACATGCTGTTTGTTACCTGAATGTTTGAGACCAGGCATGACCTTTTACTACTTATTTGAGCAGCTGCACATTCCAGCAGTAATTCTTGCAGAGAGCAAGGAGCAGAGTGAATTTTGTTTTAAAGGGTGCCCTTAGTTCTGAAGATGGTCTACCATTAGATGATGCACACAAACAAATAGCTTTTCTTTTTCCGACATTGCTGGTGTTGCTTTCAAATAAATTATTATTATTACCCTTAGGCCTCTGGCAATTATGCAATAATGTAATCTCTCAAAAGTTCATGTTTTGTTCTGGAGGACCTCTTAGATGAGTGTTTGCATCATGCTTCGAGTGTGCAAATTCAAACCTCTCAGTGAAATGAATGACTGCTCCATGATGAATCACAGCAAGTTGTGCACAAAAAACGGAGAGTAACATGTTCTAAAAGCTATTGCTAGTAGTGGGAAACCGATTTGGTCACCTAAAATTTCGTAATGTTCACCACAAAGCCCACAGAATATAAGTGTTCCCTGCTGCAATTAAGACTGCAGTTGCCATGGCAGGAGCTAATTTGCACCACTATGCTCGGAACACACCGCATTTTTTTCTATATTTATCACTGAGGGATCCTTGCATGGTCCAATCACAGATATGTGCAACATCATTGATAACATTCACCTTCAGAGAGAACGCTTAGCTACTCTTCCATTATTGAGTAGTGGCTGCGCTATGCTTAGTGTAAAGACTCAGTAGAGAAGTAAGGCAATAACTACAATAAATGAAATAAGCATCATAGCCAAGTTTTTATGAAGTGACAATGCAGGTGCGAGAAGCATACTTGGCAAGCGCCTTGTGGGCTTCTACGTAGAGATCCTGGGCCACATCGGCAAACTCCACGAGGTCAAATTCGTCCTCATAGGCGCGGATTTTTCGCAGGTTCATGTAGGACTTGCCGCGCATCTCAAGGCGCCGCATGCGCTGCACGGCTCCAGCCTTGGTCAGGACGCTCACTTTTCCATCACCCTCGGGAGGAAGGTACGGTTCGAAGACACCACCTACAGTATGCAGGAACCAAAACATTAACGCCGTTTTATTCTTTGGAGTGGCATGCTAGGAAACACTGTGTGTTAAGAATGTACGTCTGGAAATTTGTGAATGCACTTGTGTGTCGATCTGCAACCACACACTCATTACTTTAGGAAAACATCAAAGACGATCGTTGAATTAATAAGTGAGAGGTTATATAACACTGCAATGTTAAGATGTCACTTTGACTGTAACCTCAGAGAGAACTAAGAGACAATCATGCCAAGGAAAACTTTGGGGTGTTATTAGCAGTGATTGTGATATGACCAAAAAAATTTCAAGTGCACAAAAAGATAACTTGTGCAGCAAGTTTCTCATTCACTTTAGTTTCCTTGACACTTATATCACAATTACTGTGAGTAAAATTCCCTACACTTTTCTTGGCTTGACTGTCGGTTTCCATTAATGTTCCATTTAACAAAGAAAAAACAAGCTCGTAAAATTATACTACCTTAATGATTTTACATGGCACTGTCTCATGCTTTCTTGCTGCCATTACTGACAAGGAATAAAGACCAAAGCCAGATGCGTTCTCGCCGATCACTTGGCTTTCAATTTATTGCAGCATGAAAGCTGCAATATTTTATGGACGCGAGTCTAGGGGTGTGCCGCATGGACATTTAGTCAGACGCGGAAAGATAAATGAGCCTTGCAAGTGCTAGAACACGGTAAAAACTAGTTTTATAGTAAGGGGTGGTGTCTGCAAGATGTGCAGAATGCGATGATACGAATGCATGCAAAATGGAAGCAGATCAGTCTCTGTTCTCGATTCGCAGTAAACATTTAGAAAAAGAAAACATGCAAACATTCTGTTTGTAGGTTTACGCATCTATGCAAGCTACAAATTACACAAACTACACATGTCGAGTCAAATAATTATCATAGCGTCACGTGCCACAGCTGGTGATGCCGGAGCACAGGTGTCTACGCCGAGCAGAAATGTCACAGCATTACAAGCGGCCGTTGCATTACTGAAGGGCCGTTCTATCGTGTACGTCATCCCCTCATTCTCTGAACACACACCCATGAGAGAAAGCGCAAGCAGCGTTTTGCTTGAAATTTGGCCCATTTCTACAGTGTGGAGCATTGCAAATTTTGGCAGACGTGATCATGAATGCCCAGTGTATACATTACACTCTTCAGCTCAATATTGTCAAACCTAGTGAGAGCCTTTTAGGCCACTGTGCCACCACAGTGGCTATGATTAGATGTTCACAGCCAGAAATTCTGACTTATGTGGCTCTGGGTTTTATTGCATGTGCTTTAAATAGCAGAGCTATTAAAGCTCGAGGTAAATGCCTGGGGATTGATCATCCGCACTTTCTAGCCCAGCTGTGAGAAAAGCCTGACGAGAGAAAGAGCACGGGCAAAGCTAAGTCGGTGAAAAGCATGGGCAGGCACACGAGGGGGGCAGCTGCTCTCCTAATCACTTAAGGTTTGTTCGATTCACCTGCACCAGTCGGAACCGGTTCGCAGCTGTGCACGCAAAGTTCAGAAATTGTGCAGCACGAGTTCAGTGGCGCAGGCCTTATTTCTTTTCTCTTTATTTACACCATTCAGCAAACACTGACCGATGGCAAATCGCACATGCAGACAGTTTATGAAGCGCAAACATCTTGGTAAAACACACCGCGTTTGTAGAAGCGGGTACGGCACCTAAGCCACCTACGCCTAAGTGCTGCGTCGTCTGCTCAGCTGCACATGCGGCTGCACCAAGCCGGCACCGTCGGCGTAGGAGGTGCAGGAAAATCGTGAACCAGTGCTGCACCTCTTCTCCATCTTTAGAAACGAATGGCAGGGTTCAGAGGTCGTCAATGCTGCACCGCTGAAACGAATGGCAAGGTGTAGCACCTCGTAAACTGGTTCACATAGTGCAGGCGAATCGAACGGACCTATAGGGAGGGGGGGTGCAAAGTATGTCCCATACATTTACTCAGTTATGGCAATGAAGTTTTTCGAAGACAATGGCGGCCGAAGGACCCTGATGTAGTACATGATTTACGTACTTGCTTTCCTTTTTTGCTTCAGGAAAGTCAGGGACTAAAGGCAGCCCATTGTGAGAAGCACTTCATCGCTTTACCTTCATTTTTTTTTATTCATCCATTTATAATGAAGCATGTTGTCTTTGGTCTCCACCAAAGGGAGGGGGGGCATCCTTGTATTGTGTGATGAAACTTTACCCCCGCTAATGAGGAACCATGGTCATCCCTATATTCAAAACTCATTATACTAAAGTTTCATCTTACACAAAAACGAGTTTGTTCTATCTGAAAATTTCTTATAAAAGATTATTCCTAACACTATATATATTGCAAAAATATTTTTTGCTTCGTTATTACCTGTATTTCATTATTTCAGGGTTTGTTATATGGAGGTTTGTGTTAGTAAGAACAAAGCCTAGTAGAGAGCGGGTAGTGACATGAATAGAGTAAAATGGGTAGTGAGGTGGTTTGGACAGCAGGACCGGTTGATAGCCGCCCTGGAAAAGCAGAGGGTATCATATTCCTTCTGGAGTGCTCATCCCACATTCGTTCTGAAATGTTTGGCAATGGCCAAGCTAAACTGATGCTACCAGTTTCGCTTTTCGATCAGATTTTGCGACATTAAGCCAGCTGAAGCTGCGCATATTTATTATTACTAAATATCGTCGCTGTTTCTCGTGGGTCTATGCAGCAGGTAGTCAAGGCGTGTCTAGTGATATAAATAATCACAATTAGCACCGAATCGCGTGGTTCTCACCCGAGCAGCTGATGACCATGGGTCGCTCATTCCAGGGCCGGTCGGGGGCCACGCCTTGCTCCTTTAGTTTGGTACGCATCTCCTCCGGTGTCATTTGGTCCTTGCGGCGCATCTCCTCGAATTCGGGCAGCTTTATCTTGATAACCTTGCGCCGTCGCAATGCCTTCCATTTGGGAAGCCAGTGCTTGTTGTTTTTCATCCAGCGCACTTGCTGCACCGACGGTCGGAACAGCCCCTGCGCCAACTGAGAAAGATGAAAGCCGACGCGAGAGATTGAATCACGAGGAGAAGCTTCCGGGAAGGTTGTCGTCTCAAACAGCGTCAGCTCCAGCGCTGTCAGCCTGTCGAATTCAGCGCTAAGCGAAGCGGAAAAGCAAAACGAAAACACGAAAAACACGATGAGAAAACCAAGGTGTATATATACACACCTAATGGGCGTAGTGATCACATCATTTTAAAGATGCATAATTTGACACTGCCTAGAAGCGCGAGCGAATATCGACTGAGGATTCGCATGCCTTCGAGCCATCAACGGAAGAGTTTACGGGAAAATCTTCACGTAGACCTTGAAAAGAGTAGGTTGTCGCAAATAAACAGCGTATATCGTTGCCAAGCTTAGATACACGCCATAAAATAGCACAAAACCTGCTTACGGTGCTTCCAGCACCGCTGATTGCGAGCCGAAGCATGAGGTTACTGCAGTGCGCAGCCATGTTGAATGTTTCGGGCATGACCTACTACACTCCTGACCTGTTCAGATAGCGGGGTTCCTATGGGAGCGCGTGTCCCCGCTCTCGTTCAATCGCTCGCCGTAGGTGGCGCTACCTATAACCTGTTCGTCTGCTACTTTACGGCTGTTTGGACGGCGCTAGAGTAAGAACGGCTGCATTCCGTGATGAACAGCCGGCATATATGTGACTATTTTTTCACTTAGATGACTGGTCAAGTAAGCTGTTCAGTGTGACGAAAAATTTATTGCACACTGGTGGACAAATGCGAGAATCCGTAGACTTACATAGTGTAGGACAGCATATGTGATGTTGCGTCCATTTAATTGCAAAGAATTTGTGAATGACTTTTGAAATATTTGTTTCAAAATTATTTTTCATTAGTGCATAATAATTACGCAATATGAGTGCTCTGTTGGCCGAAATATGACCACGAACACTCAAGCTGACGTCAGCGAACAGGTGCTGACTAGCGCCACAGTGCTCCTAAGTTACGGCCCTAGCGGCAGAAGGTATGAACTAGAACGTGGGCGCTGGAAGAGGTGCTCTCTGGGCAGGTCAGGAGTGTAGTAGGTCATGGTTTCGGGCATGACCTACTACACTCCTGACCTGCCCAGAGAGCACCTCTTCCAGCGCCCACGTTCTAGTTCATACCTTCTGCCGCTAGGGCCGTAACTTAGGAGCACTGTGGCGCTAGTCAGCACCTGTTCGCTGACGTCAGCTTGAGTGTTCGTGGTCATATTTCGGCCAACAGAGCACTCATATTGCGTAATTATTATGCACTAATGAAAAATAATTTTGAAACAAATATTTCAAAAGTCATTCACAAATTCTTTGCAATTAAATGGACGCAACATCACATATGCTGTCCTACACTATGTAAGTCTACGGATTCTCGCATTTGTCCACCAGTGTGCAATAAATTTTTCGTCACACTGAACAGCTTACTTGACCAGTCATCTAAGTGAAAAAATAGTCACATATATGCCGGCTGTTCATCACGGAATGCAGCCGTTCTTACTCTAGCGCCGTCCAAACAGCCGTAAAGTAGCAGACGAACAGGTTATAGGTAGCGCCACCTACGGCGAGCGATTGAACGAGAGCGGGGACACGCGCTCCCATAGGAACCCCGCTATCTGAACAGGTCAGGAGTGTAGTAGGTCATGGTTTCGGGTTTCTGTTTCAATCATGGAGGTTTCAATGAAAAACTTATAAAAACGACCCAGAAAAAAGGGGTTCGTGTAAAAAACAAGACACAATTTTACGCAGTTCCTATATTAATTTAAAAAAATTAACGTGTTCAGTAAAGTTAAAAATAACCACCGATATTAATTTATTTTTTACGGCAATAGTCGTTTCTTGGTTTTGGTTTTTAGCCTCAGGTGTGCAGCAGCGCTCGTCCACTCGACGTATTGGGGTTAGGGCTGCGGAACTTGAGAAACTTTCAGTGAGTATTTTCACCTTATTATTATAATAGGTTATTGCTCTTATTGCTGATAAACGTGTGGGCAGCTCGGTTCGTATGTCAGTTTAGTGGAATGGCCAGCAACGAGCAATGCCGGGTGAAGCGCTCGGCGGTGTGCTCCGTAGTCGCTACTAAGCCTCGTCGCTCTGCGCCGTTGTCAGCCTGTTTTCTTACAGAGTGCCGTGGTTGAAAGCGTGAGCCCGCATTGCCGGCATCGCCGGGCGTGGAACGAACGAATTCCACGCGGCCGCATCGTCTGAAGGCGAAAATAAATGGTTAGACTGGCCGACCAATGCTTGCGAACATTTTTATTGCGCAGTGTGGTAGGCCTCGTTGTCGGAAACCTCGCGTGTGTGATTCAACCAACGCCGAAGCACGTCCCCGATGTGCGCGTGTGAAGGACGGACACCTCGCTTCATTCGTTGCTCTCGAGTTTCTGCCTACCTGCTTTTCTGCAACATGCTAGCGTTTAGCCCCCAAACCGCGGCGTATCACAGCTGTTTTTGAGGCAATTTTAACTGCGCAAATACGTTCATTCAAAGCTCCGCCTGTCTATGCCGGTAGACATCGCAAACGCCGGCTGACATTTTGAGTCGTGTTTTGCGCCCGGCTAATACGTGCGCGTTATTTATTGTGGTTTCGCATTCGTGTCGCGAGAATAGCGTGTTGGGAAGAATAGTGTAGCATTCAGTGCTCCAGGTTCTACACAGCCGTCTGCCCTCTTGCGCACCCATTTTTTTCTTTCCCTCACAGCGGTGCGTTCGCGGGACCAGCGATAAGCACCGTGTGTGGCACGAAGGAATGCAATGCACCTTCGCCTCTTTTATCTGTGACGAGGCTTTGCGCTCGACTCTGGCATAAAGGATGCTTTTATGGTTGACTGGTCCACGATATGTCCGGGCAAAACGGTCTCCGTGTACGGCGACCCCCTAACAACCAGTCCCGAGGTGGCCGGCGTTCCTTTCGCAGCGCTTTATGTAATTTTTTTTTTCTTCGTACTGCGCTCCCTAGTTCCAGTTCGTGCCCCGATCTAGCTTTCGCATTTTCATTTTATTTACTTTCGTTTCTTCTCTCCGCCTGCGCGTCACTCGCCTGGCGACCTTGGCCATTTGTGCCGATTCATGCGAGAGGCATCTTCGAGTTTTATTTTGTACTCGAGCAGCTCCTCTCCCGCAGACCTGTTGCCACGGGGCACTGCACTGTTACGAGTTTCAACTGTTGCACTAGCGCTGTCTGGCTACATTCATTTTCGTTTTATGATTTATTGTACTTTGCGTACGTAGTAGATACAACCACACCAGTCCACTGCATGACGGAACCCGTTTGACAGGAAGCGCAATTTGCTATGTCACCTGATCTCTCATGTCGCGGGATTGAATCCCGGCTGCGGCGGCTGCATTTCCGATGGAGGCGGAAATGTTGTAGGCCCGTGTGCTCAGATTGGGGCGCACGTTAAAGAACCCCAGGTGGTCCCAATTTCCGGAGCCCTCCACTACGGCGTCTCTCATAATCATATCGTGGTTTGGGGACGTTAAACCCCACAAATCAATCAATCACCTGATCTCTCGGTTTGAATATGGATGAAAGGAAGCAGCATGTTTGATCATCTGTAGCTTGCAACTGTGTTTGATTGTAGATAAGCAAGCATCCATAACCTAGGGTGTAATTTCTTTACTCGCTAGTAATATGACTGGGATTTGAAGTAATCACCTGGAGGCTGAAGTAATCACCGGTGTTTCTGTGGAGTTTACAAATAGCAGTGAAATAATATCAAAATGATGCGAAAGTTACGCATGATCTGATCACAAGCTATGTGACCATGGTATCTGCCATCTTTTGACTGAAATAAACGTGGCTTGCAAGAATGAGGAATGTTAGGAGTGCGGTTAGCTGGGCTGTTGTCAAAAACATGCAGTATGTTTCGAGGTGCAGTTCTAATTATTGTTATCCACAAAATTATGCTCACTTGTTTGTCCAATTGCATAGGATAAGAATGTACAGACTCTACCTCATTAATTTTTCACTAAGTTAAAAGATTTTGAGCCAACTGTTGCAAAACATTTGTATCTTTAACGTTACCACATACTGTTGCTTGTACCACATACATTGTTTGGGAGAGCCTTTGACTTGAAGTTTTCACTATGTTACTGATCCATAGACTTTTCTATATAAGGTCAGCAGTCAAGTTTAACTTCATCATGTGTGAGTATCTTGGAAGATATAAACGTTGGTAACGATTTTGATGTGTCTGTACGCTTTAACTTATGATACTACTAAATCACTCGTCCTAATGATACGAGTTGTAACATGATTCAGCTATGTAGATTACAGTCACAGTTTCTCAGTTTCAAGTGGATGTGCAAACTAGATTTGAAGCATGATGTTGTTGCTGATTGTTCTGCTTTTGTCATTCTTTCCAGCTGCTTTTGTATGAGTCAGAAACCCGAAAAACCGACACTATCAGGTCAACGTATCAAGACCAGGAAAAGAGGTTTGAGAGCCATTTCATGCATTTTCGTGCAGTTATATATTGCATTCTTATAAGCAGACTCGTACGCGCATTCTATGAAAGCAGCGAGGTCCGTTTCGGCATCTTCTGCTGCCGAGTTTGAGCTTGTGAGTTAAATTCTCAGTCATGAAGGGAAGGAAGGGAGTGGCAGTCGTGCCTACGCACGCGTGCATGGCGGAGGAGTCCACTTGAGGCCGTAAACAAAACTAACCACCGCCACACATGACGCCGCCGGGGCATCATGCGAGCGCGCAGGGACTAGCGAAACCAGAGGCCGCTCTTTGTTGGATTTATTGAATGGAGTGAAACAGAAACTGGCTGAAAAAGCCAGCTTTACATGTGTACGTGCAGTAGGTTTTCAGATTGAAAGTTCGGGGAACAAATCTTCCCAGAATTCAAACAGCTCTCTTGTGAATAGCTTGTGTATGTTCCAGGCAATTATTACTGCTCGGCACTTTCAACTTGTGAAGCTGACACCACAATTTGATATTTCACTTGCCAGGGTTCGTTTCAGTTTAAAACTTTGATGTTACTAAAGTGTAAAACAAGCAGGTGCATCAGCCGTGCCCACTTTTTCAACAACACGTGCTATCATTCGCGAAAAGATGCGTCAAAAGTCACTACTTTGACAAAGTGGGAAAAATGAAGCTGATTTCGAAAGTTCAGTGCTCGAAAAACAAATTTAGCATGCCGATATTGGGGATCCAAAGCATCGATCACCGGTGATAGATTTCAATAAGTGTCCGAAAGAAAGAATTGAAGACCCTTGAAGGATTAAAGGAAAGAGTGGGTCATACATATTTTGTAGTCACTATGCGATCGCTTGAATATGCGGCCGGGCAATTTGAAGTGGATGACCAGCGTGGCGAGGTATGTGGGATGGTAGAATAATACATAGGTGACAGAGTGGGATGCGAAAAAAAAAAAAAATAAAAGGGAGAGGCTTTAAATGTGGCGGCGGAAGCGAAGGGTTAAAAAAAAAAGGCGGATTCTTTTTCTAGGGATGATACACTGGTGTTATAGATGAGTACGAGGAGCGAATAAAGTTAATGTCACTGCTTTGAAGTGAATCAATTAGATGTGCTTCATGTGCTTAATCTATGTAGCATTGGCCCTTTTATATAGTGGTATGAAAGCTCACTAGTGTAGGGAAATGCATCATTTTGGCAGGATATGGCACGCACGAAGACGCAAACAACAAAGGCGTGTTAGTGTGCAATATCCTATTAATATGATCAATTACCGACCAGTCCAGTTCGCTGTACCATTGCTGATGAGTTTGTAGATGGCTGCCTCTTTCCCAGTCATTGCAATGCTTCATTTTCGTCTTTGTCTCTTTTTCAGATGAAAAGGAAAAGTACGACCCTTCAGGGTTTCGTGATGCCATACTGCAGGGTTTTGCAGAGGCTGGGTCTGACCTAGATGCAGTGCACAAGTTCTTGGATGCAGCCGGCTCCAAGTTGGACTACCGCCGCTATGGAGAGGTCATCTTCGACATTCTCCTGGCTGGCGGCATCTTGGGTGAGTGGGCAAGGATTGATGTGGGCCTGTGTTTACCTGCTGTTCCTAGAATTTCGTCTGGCACCTTCCTTGCCTTATGAAATAATAGCCCGGCCAAAGCAGCACTACTCATGGGCTGGCGCTTGTATCGAGGTAGTTCATTGCTGTGAGGCTATGGTGAAAGCATTTTTCTAAAGGCAGCTTGACTACTGCTTTTTAGCTTACGCTTGAGCCAAACTGTATTGAATTCAGGTGAAATAAATTATCAATCATACAGAACTGTTTTTGATCAGTGCAATGTTTCAACTTCATTGAATGCAAAAATGAACAGCTGCAACACTGGATATATCGGGCAGCGGCAAACGCCCCATGAAGTTGGCTTTTCCTCACACAACTCTGGTTATTCTTCATGGAAGATGGCCTTCCCGCATACATTTGGGAGACCGAGCCATGCGACTTGGAGAACACTGGGCAGAGAAAGCAAAAACTACCACTTGCCAATGCGTGTATTCCAAGCCCACAATTCCTCATCGTTCCGCCGCCGGCTCTTCGTGCAGTTGCCGTTTGCTTTCCCTCTAATTTTTAAACTGGATAGATGCTGTAAAATATGTTGCTATTCTTTACAAAACAGGCAATAATCGGTACAGCAGGGGTGCAACAGCTGCGCTAATTTGATACAATTCTGTATTGTTGTGCCGAGCTGTGCCAAATACGTGAAATTTGCTGAAATTGCACCAAGATGTTCATCCTGCCTCAAAATTTTTACAGCGAAGGCTGTTATGGGATCTGAACACAGGTCACGCTCGGCACCGTAGTTGTCTGTCGCCGGTGTCCGTAACCAGTATCGAAAGAGAAAAAAACTGTAAATAAACACACCAATGACACAATAGGATTTGAACCCGGGTCCGCTGTGTATCAGCCCAGTATTTCACCACTGAGCTATGCCAGTGCGTGGAACTAATTTCAAAACTGGTCCTAGGCAGGCTTGATGTCGAGAAAGGAATCTCATCATTATGGGCAGAGTTGAGACAGCTGCGCATACTGCGCATTTTTTATTCATATCCATTCTCTTGCTTCAAGCTGCTCCAAAAGTTGGAGCGTAAAAAATCGCCGAAATTGCGCCCAACTGCCCCAAAACAGCCTCAAAAGTTCGAATTTCGATGCCAACCTCGGCTTTAGTGGGGGAAAAAGGCTAAGACGCACCCATTCGTCACTTTCTTTTTTTTTTTTTTTTCACTTTGCACCTTTTTGTCGTGAGTGAGGAGCTGTAAACGTTGAGTCATTTCCCTGCATGCGGTGTGTCTCCTGGATACTCTGCCACGTGCACATGGGTTCTAAAAAGGGGTTTCGTGAGCGCCAGAACGTGTCCAACCCATTCATGGTTTACGCCCATTAGCTACTAATTTATTTAGACTAACGAGTTCTCATTGCATTTTGCATTTAAAAAAGCCATTGCACGCGAAATTCACACATCGGTGTCTGCAGGTGGAAACACTTGGTTACATTCGAAGCCGTGGTGACAAAACGCGCATTCATATCATTGTAAACAATAATGACCGGCACCTCGGCGCTTTATTCGTGACTCATTACGCTTCGGCGATCACTTGGAACAGTTTTCGAATAGTGATTTGCCACTGCTCCATTTTGTAATAGCAATGAGCAATTAGAGAGGCATCGCTGCGTGCGTGACGGCCCTGGGCTACACGGGCTTTAGGCTTATCTCAATCAGTGTTTTGGTTGGCGGCAGTGTGACTGTTTTTCTTTTCTGCAATAAAACCTGCCTCTCTACGTTCGGTAGTACGTTTGCGTAGACTCTGAATTTCTTACCTGCGCTGCGCAAGCGCGGGACTCAGGAGCATCTCAAGTCGGTGTATTATTGAGAGTGTTTCATCAATGGGGATGACCTATAAATATTTAAAAAGTCAGCGTATCCACGGAGTGCATGATGAGTGGGGCAAAGCATCAGTCTGTCCGTCTGCGCAGTCGTCTGTGTGTCCATTCATCTGTCAGTCTTGGCGTCCGTCCGTCCGTGCATCTGTCTGTCTCACCGTCCGTGCATCTGTCCATACATCCGTCCATTTAGTGAACAATTCAAGTATTGCCATCTCGAATATTTTCATCATATATTCATCATATAGAAGTACCGTCTTCCAGCGGATATTTCGAGGACTAAACGAGAGGTGGCATGGCCGTACTAGAGGAGCAGCACCCGTGCATTCTCTTCTGGCCTGCACTTCATGTCTAGTTCCCACCTTTCTCTGTCGCTAGTTCATGGCAATGCAGCTCAACCCTCACCAATCATCATCAGGCTGACTACGTCTACTGCAGGACAAAAGCCTGGCCAATCCCCCACAGTGGGTATGCGCCACTAACGATAGGAGAACAACAACAACTACAAAAGCCTCTCCCGTGTTCCGCCAGTTAACTCGGTCCTGTGCTTGCTGCTGCCAATTCATACCCGCAAACTTCTTAATCTCATCTGCCCACCTAACCTTCTGTCTCCCCCTAGCCTGCTTGCCTTCTCTGGGAATCCAGTTAGTTACCCTTAATAACTAGCGGTTATGCTGTCTACATGCCCGGCCCATGTCCATTTCCTCTTCACTAAACCTCACTAAACCTTGCTAAAACCAATTATGCTGCGTCCAGCAAGTTTAACGTGGCAAACCTTTCGGGTAAGATGGTGCTCAAAGTGTGTTCTTCTGATACTAGCTTTTTTTTAGTAAGCATTAAATTCAAGGCAAATTTTATTGGAGATTAAGTCATGGACAGTTGTCTCTGCAGGTTATTTCATCAGTAATGACCATCTTTTTATTTATGATTAACATGTGCTTGTTTTCTCCTGAATTCAATTGAGTGGGCGCTTGCCGCTTCTCTAGTTCGGCTTTGGCGGTAGCTACTTACCACTACTACTACTACTTCTACTATTACTACTATTACATACATGGGGAATGCACAACGCACAGCTTAAGGAGCTTCACCACTAAAAATATAGAACTGGCCGACATGTGCGGCATTATTGGCCATCCAGGCTGATGCAGCTTCGCCATTTGTGTCGGGCTTCAAATGTTAGCTGTGGTGGAAATTTTGTTGTAGCGGCATTCAGTGTAGTGAGGGTCGACTATATAGCAAAGTTGCATCTTACACGAAAATAAGCTCGATATAAAAGTTTATTCCTAAGAATACATCTATCATTCCAAACATTTCACACAATATTGAGTTTGTCTGATGAAGTTGCTGTGTGTATTTTTAACTACCGTGTCTTAATTGCAAATTTTAGTTCTGGACTGGGGCAAAATGGCCTGTCAGTGTAATATGTAGTATTTTCTTGTTTTTTTTTTTTGCATACGTAACGTAGTCTTCTATCTTTTCTCCTTTTTTGTGCACGTTTTATTTTCGTGACTTTTTTTCTGTTGTGAACAAAAAAGTCAATTGATTTGCTAGCCTATTCTTTATTTACTTCACTACAACCATTATTAGTTATATCTGGATTCGTTATATCGAGCTTTGAGTGTACTTGTGGGCTAGTTCTGCATCTCCTTGTGCCTCTTTGCATACACCATATTGTAGAGCTCATGGTGAGGGCTTTTGTCAGTGGACATGGCATGTTAGTAGGTTGCCATCACGACCTTGCACATCGCAGCAACATAGATGCTGTTGTTGCAAAGGGCTAACCCATAGCAGTTTCCGAGTCTCTTGATCAGGTCTTGCGTGAGGCCTTCTTTTTTTCCATCTTGTGGCTTCCCTTTCCTTGCTTTGCTGACAAGAGAGCAGAGCACGGTGCCCATTTTCTTCTTCGCATGATTCATAAGTCCTCATTATTAGTTATTTGTATAAATCCATAGCTTCTCACTCAGGATTTGAAAAACTCTTCTGTCTCCATCGGAAACCGTACTGCAGTACCATAGAACATTCTTGGTCAACGACCAGCCAGAAAGCTGCTGCGCACCCTCCACCTCCATGCGATCAGGTTAAATGTCAGTGTTCTTTTGGCACTGATGGTGCTGCCTCCATTGGGGATACATGGGGTCATACTTTGTTGGATCCAGATGGCACTAGAGGCAGCATTTGGAAAGGACAACTCTGTCGAGCACAAGCTCTGTATTGAATTCGGTTATGCACCCTACTCCTATATGCAACTTATGACCATGCATCACCTAGGTACCGTCTTAGACAACGGTGACATTTTTAGGGGCGAAGCTCCTTAGGGCGTGGGCTGTGCGTCCCCTGTAGCCTGTATGTAGCCACCTCTAGTTTAGTTCTTGCAGTGTTCACTAGATGGCGATACCGTCCCCTCTATGTAGCCACCTCTAGTTTAGTTCTTGCTGTGTTCACTAGATGGCGGTACCGTCTCCTGTATGTAGCCACCTCTCGTTTAGTTCTTGTAGTGTTTACTAGATGGTGGTACTTGTAGCTGATGATGAAAAGATGCAAGATGTTATAAACTAGAAAGCGGTACTTGTAGTTGATGAAAGACGCGAGCTATGAAGCTGTCCGCGCGGCGAGGCTCTCCGCTCGCACGTGCGCCGACGGTACCTGTGGGGCAGCTTCTGCTTCATCTACGCAAGAGAGTGGTCGCATCGACGCGCCTAGCATAGGGACTCCTGCTCCGCCAGTGCAAGAATTTGTCGTTACAAGTGCGCCTGGTGTCTCGTGCTCGTCAACAGTGGCTTCCGCATCTTCTCTTTCATCGGCCTCGAGTGCGATCGCGTCGTCAACTGTGCATTTGCGAACAAGTTTCCTGACGTGCGAGGAGAAAGAGGCGGCGGATCAACAACGCGCTGCTGTGCAAAGAGAACTTGGCGCTATGCCAGCGACGGAGCGGAAATTTCAGGCAATGGAGCGCGATCATGAAGCTGCCACCGCTACAAGTGAAGGCGAAGAATTTTTTCCTTGTGCAATGGATGCCCTAGACGACCTGCTATCTCGGACCCCGTGCCACCGGTGCACCGCGATTGGGATAAGGTACGAGGAGGCACCCAACTTGGACTTGCTGCAAAGCTTGAGCTAGTATGCTTGCATTG